TATGTGCTTCTTTATGCATGTGTTTATGTATGTGGGGAATGTGGACGTGCTGTGTGTGAGCTACCTGTGGGGCTCTGAGCTGATATAGTGCTTGCAGTAACAGAGTCACATCTTCCTGTGCTCCCACTCCCACTGGAGGGAGGCGAGGGGGAGGAGAGAGGCGAGGGACTGTGCTGCGACACACAGTGAGCCACTGCGAAACCTGGAGATGGCGCACATGAACATAGACACACACGCACAGACACACGCATGCGTTACCATGGCTGGGTAGTTATTTGCCCGACCCATATCTAGTCCTAGCATCCTAATTTCTGTTGATGAATGTCGCCTTTCAATCGTATTTTAGCCATCAATGTACAAGAAAAGATGTGCCTCATGTGTAAGCTTCAGTTTTTTTTATGTGTAGTTTTGTATCCTTAGGTTTGCTTTTAAATGTACCTAATTCTGAGAGATCGACATAAAATGTATGTAATGTAATGTATGTAAAATGTACAGACTAAAGCAGTTATGAATACTAATCAGAAAAACATAATGACTTTTGTTGACCTTTAAAGTGGCTATAAATACATTTCAATAAATGTTGACTCAAACAGAAGCTTGCTATAATTTTCACATTGACGGATTTCAGGATTTGAAAGTATTTTCCACAGCGGCAGCAGTTGTCCTTGCTCAGTCAAAAAAAGAGTCCTATTCAGGGACTGCAGCAGGTAATATAACCTGCGCTTAGGGGTCAGGAACAGATGAGGCAACAGACAAAAGGGAACCTCAAGTAAAACAAAAGAAAATGGTATTTAGCATAAATGAAAATGCATGGATTTTAAAAATGAAAGCAATGGTAGGGGAGTTTTCAACTGTATTCTCAGGAGTCTTATTTCTACACAAAGCCTCTGATCTTTGTCTCCTGATAGGAACAAGACTGACTCACTGTTAGACTTCTGCACTAAAGATCAAATCACAAACCCATTTCCACAGATATTATCACTATTTGGTTTGAACTTTCTGAAAAAGTTTTCTCCAAATTAAAAAAGAATGGTGTTCTATCATTGATTATTAAAATATAAAGTATCCAGTGTGTGTCAAACAGGGGAACTGTCGTTGCTTTATGATGTTTGTATAATCATTCAGATCCTTTTAGTGTCTACTATGTCTCAATATAAAGCAAGGTGAATGTCTGGATCTCCAAAGCAGTGTACAGACTAAAGCAGCTATATGTTGGCAGTGGACCCTGGTCACCTGGTACTTTATCGACGGAGCCGAAGACCGATCTGTTTGCTGTGGGGTCGTTGGGCGCCCGTCTGGACTGCTCGTAGAATCGGAAAGGCAGGCCGCTGGGTGAAGCGTTGGCAGTCTGACCGAAACCCAGCACCTCTGTTGCGCTGGGCTGCACAGGCAGGTCCAACAGAGCTGCGTACAGAGGAAGCAAAGAGGGTAAGAGGGATATAAACACAGCACCATTAAAGCATCACGCTCTGGGACCTGTTGTGAGACTACAGAAAACGTTAGCCTGCTTTGTGTCATAGAAGAGGACTAAACTCAGAGGAGAGCGGGCTTTGGATGTGTTTTGGCAGGGTTCACATCCTCCTTTGCTTTGCTGCATTGGAAATATTTCAGATATCTTGTTTTTACTTCTGTGTGCAATTCTAAAAGATCATACAACTGGTACTGGGAGTACAAGTGACTCATGGGTAAATCCATCCAAAGTATTTGCAGCACAAAACGATTCTTGATTACTTTTCTGCGCGACTTTGCACAAACAAGGAGCAGACATTTTGGCCAGTAAATGAAATATGCATTAGTACATATTTACAACATAATTTAGACATTTTATTGTGAGGTCTTTGTTTTTTATTTAAAGCACCTGACAAAGAGTACAGCAGTCGGGTTGACTTAACTTTCAGATCACCAATGTTAGTTGTGGTTGAAAATCTTTAATTATCATGGATGACAGGAAAAGGGAACAAAACTGAAAACAAAAGGAAATTGAGAAAGTCACTTTTTAAAAGTAATTAATTAAATAATTAGAATTGAAGGACAAGAGAAGGACACTGTCTGATTCAGGGAACTGACTGATGCTATGAAGCTCCTAATACAGAGATTTAGCGGCCACTTCTGTTGGAGAGTAGCTCATATTTTGATTGTGTTTTTTAAGTAGACTTAATCCTTTTGTTGAAGATCTTGGAGGCTTGCTAAAGATTAGCTTGAAGCAACGCTAGCTGTTAAGCTGTGGTTGCACATTACTGTCGACTCGATTCGATTTGTCACTGTTTTTAAGTGTTACATTTTCTCTCAGTCCTTTCTGTTTAACTCATGTGATTTCTTGTAAAAACGTCTGTTCTGCACTCAAAAGTAGGTTCTGAAAGACTTTCAGCCACTTTGCTGTCCTGTGCAAAAAGTAAAAATGGGTCATTTTGACCTTCAAAGAGTGAGGCTGAGCCCTTAAAAGGCTTCCTGTATTCTCACCCGCAATCCTCTGCATCTTCATGCGTCGGGCCTGGATGCGACCCTTCGCCAGCCTCTGCTTGGCGATGATGCAGCGGATGTGGTCGGCGAAGATGAAGTTGGCCTGCAGGATGGGCAGAGGCTTGGCGTGCGGGTTGGAACTCGGCTTATGGATGACTATGTTCAGTGCTCTGCTGTCATCTTCAACTCCAGACACCTGCATGTCCTGTTAAGAGAGGGAGGGAGGGAGAGAGAGAGAGAGAGAGAGAGAGAGAGAGAGAGAGAGAGAGAGAGAGAGAGAGAGAGAGAGAGAGAGAGAGGTAAAGAAAGAGGAAAACAGAGAAAGTGAAGAATGAAAAGGTAAAAGAAAATTTTAATAAAACCATGGGACAAGGACAGACAAGGACAGACAGATAGAAAATGAGTTGAGAAACAGATAAATGCACCTTAAAATGACAAAAGTTACATTCACAGGTTCACACCCAAAAACCGTAGTTAACATGACATTCGAAAAAAGGAAGGAAACATTATAGTACCGAGATTCAAAGTATGTGGGAAACACTTTCACTATATCAGGTTCACAATAGAATACTGTATGTATTCTCCAATGCAGATATCAGAATTCCTTGTCTTCTCTAAAAATGTAATGCAATATCAATTTAACATAGGTCATACTGACATTTCAGAATACACTGCAATCAGTACACAGCATGACTAAGCATGTTTACACTTAAAATACATAGAAGTGACAGTAAAGTATGTTATGCCATGATATAATTCTAGCATTTCTCCAGTGAAAATTATATAAAGGGCTCGGGAAACAACAAAACCAACATCCGATAAATGAAGAAGGGAAAAGAAGAGAAATAGGAAGGAAAAATTGGTGGCAGTGCGAGGAATGGAGAAAAGACTAAGGAAAAAAAAGGAATGGGGAAAAAGAAACAATAATGTAAGCGGTAAATACATAATATGCTGAATGAGTAAAAGTGGAGACTGGATGCATTGGCAATGAAAACAGAAAAAGGAAATCGAAAACAAAGCTTATGTACTTGGAATAAAAAGCTAGGGGGAAAACTAAATAAAACACAATAAAAAAAAAACAGGAATACACACAAATGAGTGTTTTCAATAGCACTCTTTAGCACAAAGACACATCCACACAGACATGAACACACCACTTTTCTCTTACTTGCAGAAGGCCAGCAAACTTGACTACACCCCATCCAAGGCGTTTAGTTTCTGGTTCGACCAGACTCATCTGATACACATCTACAGCCAGGAACCTCTGGGCCTGGCCGCCTTCTTTACTAACCACCATACAGGCTATAAGGTCGCTGTTATCTGAAAAAGATGGATAGATATGACCGTAAGTGTGTGATTCAGGTAGAGGTAGAATAGAATAGATGCCTCATATCTGTCTGTGATCTTTACCAAACACATTGTCACTTGTTAGGACCAATGTTCTGCATTCAAGACATATGAAGTATGCTGTTTGCATAACACTAACAGCTAGAGCAAGAATGATTCTTCAAATTCTGACAGATAGTGACACTACAGGAAAAGTCAAGAGTACAAAAAATTACATTTCTGTACCATCATGACAATAATTCATCCAATAATTGTTGAGACATCTCACTCAAAACTCGCACTAAAGGAAAAGTCAGGGGATCAATTTAATCAACGGGATTAATCTGCGGTGGCCGATGAGTGTTTTTTTAAAATGTAGGTTAAACCATAGATTGAGATATTCTAGTTAGGACAAAAGTGGCGGACCAGCTGACCAACAGACTGACATCGCCAACCCTTGAGTTGCTAGCATGGCAAAAAGTAATGTTGACCAGACTGTATGTAGAATTGCATTTTCTAAAGAGGTTTTAGTGTATGATAGACATGTCAGCTGTAGTTGCTGTAAAATATACAGCACAGCTGCACTGCATATATCGAATGACCATCACTTTCTTATTGTAGTACATCAATTAGTCCAGTGTTACTATGATTAAAACAATGAAGCCTCAAGAAACACAAACACTACAGCATCTACTAAAATGACACACACACACACACACACACACACACACACACACACACACACACACACACACACACACACACACACACACGACTGGAACATACTCATTACTAATGCAAAACCACAAAAAATGAGCACTGTAGCTTTAACGGTCTACTTCTGTTTTATGTTACAAATTAACACAATGATTCAACTTCTTCAGAAAAACCTCGGTACAAAACATAAATACCAAATATAAAAAATAAAAAAAACTTCCTTTAATGTACAGTAATACTACCCCTGAAAAATGACCTGTTAGTTATGAACTGTTCCTAATTAAGTGCAGTTATGTGTTTTACTGCTGAGCTTTATTTGACTTTTATACCAACCAAAATAATGTATACTACAAACAAACTGATAGAGCAGGCAGACAAAATGACCTGTTAGTTATGAACGTTCCTAATTAAGTGCAGTTATGTGTTTTACTGCTGAGCTTTATTTGACTTTTATACCAACCAAAATAATGTATACTACAAACAAACTGATAGAGCAGGCAGACAGACGCACACAGTCAAAACAGACCACTACACACTTTTAAAGGACAGAGACACTTCTCTCCCACACGTCTAGGACGATGAAGAAACGATAAGCCTACATCTCAGCAGCTTCACTTCAGTTTACCACAAAAGCTACTGCAAAGCAAACATGAAATGTAACCAAGTAACATCACGCTGACGGTACAGCCCCACTAAAGTCGTAGTCTTACTCATACCACTTTATATTTATGTTACTTCATTTCTTATTCTCAAGAATCCTAGCCAATCCATCTTTAAACTGGAATGTGACTAATGCTATACATGTGAAATCATTCGGATGTCATTGAGTATCCATTTTCTTTCAAGTTGGCCCTTCAGTGCAGTAGTAGCGTTTCCTCTGGTGAAATACAATTTTTAATTACAATTTTATTTTTTTTTCTCAAGGTCAGACAGCTGTTGATGCACACCGTGGCTTTTAGTGTAAATCATACACGTTGGGTTCTATTTATATGACTTTCACACTAACCCATATTAATAGATCAAAATGGTGAGCGGTGAAAAGTACCTGCAGCTGGAGAGGTAGTCCCTGATTTACTATTGCAGAAAAGGGACGTGAACGGGCAAATGGTCAGAGAAATTAGGGGAAGTTTGATGGTTTGAACCCCTAGAACAGCTTGGAAAAAACCCCCACCCCCCAACTTCCACTTGACTTCTGACTGCAAGTTTTTTTTTGTGTGGGTCAACTTTCCTGGTCAAAAAGGCTGAAAATGTGGGACGTTTCATAGACAACAAGTTGACTCTGTCTCTATCGAGTAGTTTTTTGGTGATCATTGACACAGTGACAGGTTCAAGCACTGAATTTGTTTTCGAAGTACTTTCATCCAAAACATCCAAATGCAGGGAAACACCTTTCTCTGAAAGAAGACAGTTTCATGAAGTAAACAGTGTTTCTACATATTAGTCAAGTGAATTTTTAGATTTACTGCTCCTCTCAGAAGAAGGAAGTAAAGAACTACATATACATAATAAAACTCAAGAACTAATGGAATATTGATGTTTCAGCAACTAAAATGGTTATTTCGGTGCTGAAGGCATACTGCTGTGTCATCATATATCAGGCCAGTTTTGCCATCATAAAGTATTCAGCCGTTCTTCAGAAATGTGGATGACTAGTAAATAAGACACCTTCTGCTCTCCCTGTTTTAACAACAGCAGCGGTACCATTGAGCAAAATATATGCTCAGTTAAAAAGGACCAGACAACAGTGCAGCAAGGAGCAGCTAGACTTAAATGCTTGTATTCACATTCACATTCCCTGCCCCTGCAAATATTCCCTTGAGCTATCAAGTGTCCCTAATCAACCTGCCAGCTTGAACAAACATTACTGCAGGCAGACAATGGCGTGACTGTATTCACTTGTGTGAACAACATGTGACTTAAGTTTAGTTAAACCTCCAATCTCTTGAGCATTTCATCACCAAAAGATAACTGGTCACAAGTTCAGTAGACTATATAACACATCAGACCAAAACAACTCACAAAACAATCACGCAAAATCCAGGGGGCTGTTCATACTTTTATGAAGCCACTGTAAAATGAATCTTACTACTTAATAAATTAGTAATTTAACAATAAACTCCACTGCTGCACTATTCTGCAGAACTTCCATACTCTAGAACAGCATCAATGTGAATGTCCCTTGAGTCACACATGTATGCAATCTGACTAGGTACCCTTCCTTCAACGCACTTTTACACTTATGGCAATGTTCCCGTTAATGGGAATGCAACATTGCCCCGCCCTTGCAATACCATCTCTGCAACCACAATGCTCATACTCTTCTGATCCAATAAGAATAGAAAATATTCTGTGCTTCATTTGTGAGTTACCAGAGGATGTGGTGGAATGTAGTGGTGGCAGCCTATTGGTCAGAAAAAGAGTTTGTGGATGAAAGGTTGCAGGTTTAACTTGTGAGGAAAAACCTTTCTGCTCGCCACAATTACTCTGTATGAGTGTGTTCTTAGTCAACCACCATACGTAAATGAAAGTGACAGTGACTTAGTAAAAACTAGAATAACTGTCTCACAGTTGAATGCCTTCATCGATTGGTGGAATGGAAGATATCACTATATTGATAGATCAATAAAAAAACTGGACTGGACCCATAACACTGAAGGCCTTTTCAGGAAGGGGCAGAGCAGACTGTTCTGAGGAGACTCAGGGTTCGAAATTGATTTGACTTGACTTTGTTGAGTTACCATAGTTTTAAGGTGGACACCCAAGATTATTGTCACCAATTCAGTACCTGACCAAATTTGAATGTCATTATCTCCACTTCCAAAAACAGGCCAAATAAAAAGTGTTGTTGCAGAACCATATGATGTCACAGTGAAGCTGACCGTTTAGCCTTTTTGGATATAAAATCACTTCATCATTTTATCCTATTAGACCAGACATTTGTGCAAAACGTTGTTATAATTAGCATATAAATACTTGAATTATGGCCATGAACTTGTTTTGTGAGGTCACCGTGACCCTTGATCTTTCACCACCAAATTCTAATCAGTTCATCCTTGAGTCCAAGTGGACATTTTTGCCAAATTTGAAGAAATTCCCTCCTGAGATACTGTGACCACGAGAATGGGTCAGATGGACGAACAAACTGAAAATATAATGCCTCTGGCCATGGCTGTTGCCAACACAGAGGCATAAAAAAAAGGAGTGAATTCCAACAAGGAAATAATTTTTTAAATCACACATGGGTAGAGTTAAATGCAATATAAATAATCATTGAAACCAAACAAAGATTGGTTAAATTATCTTTTCAAGTGACAAGAAGTTACTGGAAGCCATGTCCTAACTGATATTGATGATGGTTATCATTACCTAAATCTGCCACAGGCTCTTTTGGCAGGCATTTCGAATCATGAAAACAGCCAGTTTCCATCCATTTATCAAGTTAATTTTTCAAGATAACCAACCCCCATACCAAAAGAAGAAATTAAGAAACGCCCCCCCCCATGGTTTAGGAAAATGAAAGCAGAGCTGTCGAGGTGTCGAATATGTATGACGACAAAAATGGATGAAAAAAAAAATGGAATTGGCAACACAATGCAAAGCATTTCAGTATCTGAAGGCACACTGCTTTGTCACTGGTTTGATCCCTTCATCATGCCACCTTTCTCAGGATAAAGTCAATAATCGTTCAGCGAATGTGTTTCCAAAAATTACCGAAACTGCAGCTCAGTCATCACAGATGATACGATAACTCTGAAAGGCTATGACTACCTAAATTTACCACAGCCGGTACAGTCATCAAAGTAAACTACCCAGTGGAATTCACAATGAGCTCTTCTCTTCATATCAAATTCTAAGAAGTGATTTTAATGTTATACATACATTTTAATCATTTGAAATCGCAAATACTCTTAAAAGAAAACAAAACATAAAACATTTTACTTGTACTTGTAGTGGCGACCTTTTTACAAAAGGGTGTTTTTTTTTTTTTTTTTACATTTCAACCCTGACAGTCCTTTTCAGTACTGATTGGTATAGAAAAAGACTGACAGAAGAACAGAGATGGTGCAAAGAAATTGTGAAAGGGGAAAAGAAAACAGACCGAGAAAAGGAGGTTTTCTTGGCTTGCATCATAAGATACTGTATGACACACTATCTGCTCTGAGGAATTTGTGGTGAACCTTACTTTCTTTCTGAGATGTTCTGCTTATTCAAATTTAAAAAAGGTTTAAAATGAGGGAATACATTTGAAATAAGAGAGATGGGCTTCCTGTCTATTAAGTCTCTATTCTCAGAATGAAACCATGAGTGAAACAGTATACAGTATTAGTTAGACTGAAATGCTTAAGTCGTATAGGGCAGTGATGAACAACCTATAACACTAATATAAATATATCAAACAAGCATCTACCCCTTGATATCCTTTATCTGAGGGCTGACAGAGAGAGTTGGGCTATGCCAGTTTGCAGACTGACACATATTAAGACAACAATTCACACTCACATTTAAACCAACAAGCAATTTAAAGTCAACAGTTCATCTAACCTGCACGACTTGGGATCGAAATGTCAGCGCCAACTATACTAACTTAATTCCACTGAGACAGAAGCAGAAGACAGTGAGGCTTCTTATTCGATTGTTCTTGGGTGGTGAACAGTATCTGACTGAATCACACAATAACCAAGTGGAATTAAATAACAGTGTCATGACAGCAACAGTGTAGGTTGTATGTCCTTAATCTATTCCAAAACAATGTTATCTTGATATCTGATGATTATTTGGAAAGAACACTCAGTTCCAAGTAAACCATAAAAGAGTAGTTATGATTATATTTCCTTAAGGTCAGTAGATATTTTATAAACAGATCGCCTCAAGATAAGAAGATATAAAAAGGGTAGGACTGCAGTCATTTAACAGTTTGGAAACCAGGGAATCTACAGTGGGTACGGAAAGTATTCAGACCCCTTTAAATTTTTCACTCTTTGTTTCATTGCAGCCATTTGCTAAAATCAAAAAAGTTCATTTTATTTTATTTCTCATTAATGTACAATCAGCACCCCATCTTGAGAGAAAAAAAAAAAAAAAAGAAATAGAAATTTTTGCAAATTTCTTAAAAAAGGAAAAATTAAATATCACATGGTCATAAGTATTCAAACCCTTTGCTCAGTATTGAGTAGAAGCACCCTTTTGAGCTACTACAGCCATGAGTCTTCTTTGGAATGATGCAACAAGTTTTTCACACCTGGATTTGGGGATCCTCTGCCATTCTTCCCTGCAGATCCTCTCCAGTTCTGTCAGGTTGGATGGTGAATGTTGGTGGACAGCCATTTTCAGATCTCTCCAGAGATGCTCAATTGGGTTTAGGTCAGGGCTCTGGCTGGGCTAGTCAAGAATGGCCACAGAGTTGTTCTGAAGCCACTCCTTTGTTATTTAGCTGTGTGCTTAGGGTTATTGTCTTGTTGGAAGGTGAACCTTGGCCCAGTCTGAGGTCCTGAGCACTCTGGAAGAGGTTTTCTTCCAGGATATCTCTGTACTTGGCTGCATTCATCTTTCCTTCAATTGCAACCAGTCGTCCTGTCCCTGCACTGAAAAAACCCCAAGCCGATGCGCCACCACCATGTTTCACTGTTGGGATTCTATTGGGCAGGTGATGAGCAGTGCCTGGTTTTCTCCACACATACTGCTTAGAATTAACGCCAAAAGTTCAGTCTTGGTCTCATCAGACCAGAGAATCTTATTTCTCATAGTCTGGGAGTCCTTCATGTGTTTTGGGCAAACTCTATGCAGGCTTCATATGTCTTGCACTGAGGAGAGACTCCGTCGGGCCACTCGCCATAAAGCCCCGACTGGTGGAGGGCTGCATTGATAGTTGACTTTGTGGAACTTTCTCCCATCTCCCTACTGCATCTCTGGAGCTCAGCCACAGTGATCTTGGGTTCTTCTTACCCTCCACCAAGGCTCTCTCCCACGATTGCTCAGTTTGGCGAGCCAGGTCTAGGAAGAGTTCTGGTCGTCCCAAACTTCTTCCATTTAAGGATTATGGAGGCCACTGTGCTCTTAGGAACCTTGAGTGCTGCAGAAATTCTTTTGTAACCTTGGCCAGAACTGTGCCTTGCCACAATTCTGTCTCTGAGCTCCTTGGGCAGTTCCTTCGACCTCATGATTCTCATTTGCTCTGACATGCACTGTGAGCTGTAAGGTCTTATATAGACAGGTGTGTGCCTTTCCTAATCAAGTCCAATCAGTTTAATTAAACACAGCTAGACTCCAATGAAGGAGCAGAACCATCTCGAGGAGGATCAGAAGAAATGGACAGCATGTGAGTTAAATATGAGTGTCACAGCAAAGGGTCTAAATACTTATGACCATGTGATATTGCAGTTTTTCTTTTATAATAACTTTGCAAAAATTTCTACATTTCTGTTTTTTTCTGTCAAGATGGGGTGCTGAGTGTACATTAATGAGAAATAAAATGAACTTTTTTGATTTTAGCAAATTGCTGCAATGAAACAAAGACTGAAACATTTTAAGGGGTCTGAATACTTTCCGTACCCACTGTATACTGGGATTTGTTCATAATAATACAGAGGATAAAAATGAGAACTAGGCTTATCCTTCCAATACATCTGAGTGAGGCACCCTGGTAAAGCCTAGAGGTTATGGTGGTAGAAGGTAGCATATTTACATCTGTATTGTTCGTCACAACTTCAGCATCAAGGCGCCACAAATAAGTGCAATTCTCATGTCAAAAAAAAAGAAAAGAAAAAAGGATGTACAGATTTGCAAATCTTGTGCACTGCGTGTGTGACAGTGCCATCGCTCCTGTTCACATCACTGTGCAAATGTATTTGTGATATCCTGCAAGGCAAAGCTAACCACGTGCAAGTTTCCATAACATCACCTGTGTACAGTAAGAGAAGTGTGTTCAGGTTACTTCAGTGTGTGGGAAGCTGAATGCGTACATTCTCGTCTTTGTACGCTCGTCTCTGCGTCGCTGTGGTTGTGAACTTTTGCTTGTGTCTAGGTTCTGTTAACACTCTTCTCAGATGTCTGTGTTATAGATCGCAGAAAGTGTAAGCCTTTTAGAAAAGAGAGTGGATAACTAGGGGGCGGTTAGAATTGTTGTTTTCTCCTGCTCTGTAATTCTCAGTCCTTGACTCTCTTGGGTTATATTTTAATTGCACTAAATAGACTTCATTTAGTCTCTTATGTTGTCCTTGCACTCTCTGATGTGTGACTCAAAGTGAAAAGGGATAAATAAACACATCAGCTTTCCTGCGGCCTGTGGACTAGTTTTGTACCGTATACAGTATGCCTCCGTTTCTTTGTGTGTGTGTCTTACTGAGGTCTAAGACGTCGTCTGTCTTGATGAGGTCTTCAGGTCTGGTCAGAGGCAGCTGCGTCTCGGGCTCTCCCTGAAGCTGAAGCGATAAGGACCGCAACATGAAGAACACACGGATCGCCTGAAGAGAAAGTGGAGACGTTCCACACAAACCGTTAGTCAGGGCTCCTTAAAAATACTGTGACATCAATAATAGTGTATTTATCACTGTCAGAATCAGGCTGAAACATTTTATCTTTCATCTGAGCTTTGGAGTGCTGCCAATCTGGTGTCATGTGTTTAAAGCAAAGGTTGTTGTTTTTGGAGTTATGTTGTAAAAATATATGCTATTATTTCACAAGTTAAACATTTCTACTTCATGGATTTCATGTGCCCTCAAGTGGAAACTCATATTTCATCTACAATCCTTCATTGATTTCAGACGGCAATGGGGACTGAGCTTCGGTGTGTGTGTGGGCATACTCTGCGTGTCTTCTCCACATCCCCACAGGGCAGTCTCTTGACAAAGTCGATGCCAGTCAGAGGGGTACCGGTGGGTGGCAGCAGTACTGAGGCGTCCATCATTAGATACTCCACATTCAGTGGTTTACTCTGCAACATACACATGTACGGACAAGCCAGCACCCAGACAGACATGACATGAGTAACAACAAATCAAGGAGAATCTCAGGTAAATCACGTTTCATTTTTCAAGGGGAAACAAACACTTCAAATGAAAGCCAACTAACCGTCATGCTCCTGTATTCATCTTCAAACATGTCCAGAAAGATCTCCTCGCCCTGTGATGACATAATAAAATTGGAAGCCAGTTAAAATAAGCCAGAGAGGAATGTGGCCTCTGTAGTGAACTTGGATTTGGGTGAACTTTCATACTGAGTTCAGCTCCTTTTTGCATGAAACTGAAGCTGTGAATGAAGCCAGTATGCGTAAAAGCAGAAATAAGCAAATGCTTTTATGTCCAATTATGTAGCTCTACAATATGTACACACTCTTCTGTATTGTAAACACATCTTACTTCTTCTTTCTTGTTTTGGCATCATATTGGAACAGTGCAAATCAGCCAGTCACTACAAGACTGTAATGTTTGTTTTGATAGTGACAGTAGAGAGCCAGAGACAATAAATAAGAATGGTAATGGTAAATTAGTTATAGTTATATAATCACAGTTACTTCCAATAAAAAAAATCTGATTTGTGCTTATAGTTATATATTAGAATTATTTACATTCTTTCCCTATTAATGACTTGCAATGTAAATCTCTTTACTCATTACACATGATGCTAGTACAAAGAAGGAAGTTAATAAACACAAAACTCTGATGACTAAAACATCGCCTCCGGACACGTATTACGACATATATACAAATAGTCTGCCTGGAACAATAATGTGTGTCCGTCTATAAAAATCTGCTCCTGCGGTCTAAACCGCAGCGCTACTCAGTATCCCACAGTTCACAGCGCAGGATTACAGTACCACACAGGAGAAAGTCATGTAGCCCTCCGGCCTCACTCGCTCTGAAAAAGGGCTTATTGTGTGAATCACTTGGTATTTAATTTTGCTGGTATGAAAAGCGCTATACAAATAAAGTCTGATTGATTGATTGATAAATCACCACAGGGGAAATTCCTTCACCCAGACAGCCATGCTCCTACCTGACTAAAAATTTGGAATCGCAGAATATAAAAATTGTGTTTTCTTGCGGCACAAAAAAAAAAAAAGTCTACTACTCCATTGTAAAGCCCCGTCTCAGTGTATGTGCAGCGGTGGCTTCAAGTTTCTACATCCCACTTGTAAAAGTTGCAAATTGGACCAGATTTGACTCACAAATCATGCTTTCCCCTTAAATATCTAATTTGAAGAAAAACATATTTTGAGTGGACACAGAGTTTAACCACCTACGGGTGTGTCATGAAAACATTATGACTGGTCCAGACTCCCTCTTTTGTGTTTTCCACCTTGTGGCCATAATCTTGTGTTGATATCATACACTCAGCTGACTCATCTGCCTGTGCATGTCTATGCATGCAGAGTGTAAAACCAGTGTATGGAAGTATACACACTCTCACGCCACTGTCAGATAACAATCCTTTTCTGTGGAGTCGATGCCGTGCGTGTTATTTTTGTGCGTGTGTGATTGTATGGCCATATGTCCCCCCAGTATAACCACATTCTTCTATTGCTGCATGTGATAGGTGAGTGACTTACTAAAAAAAGGACTGCTTATTATCTGGAAACTGTTGCAGGCCCCTTTCGACAAAACAAGATACTGCCAGTGCTGTGTACAAATCCAGCACATCACCCATATAAATGATTGTGTGAGGGGGAGAGGAATTCTTAAATGATGTCCCATCACCGAAATTATGTTGATGTTGTGAACCAAAACAGGAAATGCAGGACAGATAAGACAGTTTGTTGGATATGCACAGTTAACGGACAGGACATTGATTGTGATGATGTACATACTCATCCTCGGTTCATTGTGTTCATGTAACCATCCTGACATGTCTAGGCTACTTTTATCAATGCAAGAACATCTTCATTTTGAGGGAGGCCACTCAACTGACACAACGCCTACATTGTGAAAGTGTTCTTGAACTGATGAACACGGTGTTAAATGGAATTGCAGTCGTGAGGTTTTATGAAATAAAAAAAACTAATTTAATGAGTAAGGAGCAACATTATTTACAAGAGGATTTTATCATTCATTTCTCACTTACAAAACATCCAACATTTTCTCTTGCTTCTCTTGCAAGGAGATTTGTGGTTTTATTTTAAAACATTTCATTTAATAAAATCATCATTTAAACTTTGTTTCCACAGCAGCTTTACTGTTTTACTGTGTCACTGTGATCCTGATGAATATCTTTATGAACATTATTTAAGGCAGGATTTGAAAATCCGTTGAAGCCTTTATTTTCTGCTGCTGGGAGTTCCAGTTTCGAAACAAAAAGCCAGTTAACAAGAGAGAAACCACTATTGGTCAATTATAACCATGTTTTTTTTCATCAGAAAAATTATTTTTCAATGTGGTTTGGAGTCAGCGCGTTAATCACAATGATATTTTCCTGAATTCTGAAATACAACGTTTCAGCCAAACATGTGACTAATTCCAAAACTGATACGACAGTTAAAGAGAAACAGAAAGCAGACTGCACCAAACTTTAGCCTATGTGTGTAAATGTGCCATTGTATAGCAAACATGGGAAACACTTTCAGTTTTGCACATTCAGGGAAATGGTTTCAGTTATTATCAATGGATACACTAACATACATACACGTTCAGGCAAATGAGAAACAAAAGAGGCTTAACATGTTTCTCAAGAAGAACTGGTTGTAACGCCAGGTAGGCTGTCTGTACGGTTTTGTTCGTTTCCTTTATTATTCTCCCACTGTCTGCTTCCCCACCCAAGTATCATCTTATGACTGAAATCCTATTGTGCTACTGCAGCCAGTAAAATGCTAAATATTTTGCATTAATATAATTTCATTACCCAATGTCTGCTTGTCTGCATGTGTGTTTTGTCTGTCTGCTGTCCCTTAACTTTGTCTGTGTCAATATACTGCATATGCATATGTGTGGGTAGATGGGAGAGAAATGACTTATTTTTGTAAGTTATTGGTGCGTGTGTGTGTGTGTGTGTGTGTGTGTGTGTGTGTGTGTGTGTGTGTGTGTGTGTGTGTGTGTGTGTGTGTGTGTGTGGATTGGGTAGAGTCTGGTTATCTTGTTTCTGTGCGTTACTGCGTACACTCACCTTGTAGAATCTCCGCAATAAATGGAGACTTTCTTCTCTAGCACCCTGGAAACACAATCATGAAGTATAAACAGTATGTTGCAAATACAGTCTAAACTCATTAAACATACACACAAATAAAATACAAACATATCTTGATTAAATTTATATTTTCAAACAATGGACAGGTAAGAAACTAATTGTTGTGTGTGATATTCTGTTGGTTATAAAAAATCTACGTTTAACTTATCACTGCGGTATTTGAGGAGCTGAAAAAAGGTAAATATTGCTAGAAGAAAATGGAGTAGGCAGAAGGAGGACATGTATTTTACCTACTGCTACACTTCTCCACTTAACATAATACAACAGTAAATAATTCAAACAAATAAATCTTGATCTTAACAAACCAAATTCATTCTAAAAACATGAAAACCTAACAGAGTTTCTTCCAAGGTAATTGCTCCCCAACAAGCTTTACTAATTTAAATCTGTGCAACCTATCTTTAACCTTGAACATAAACTTGCTCTACAGAAACACATCACCACAATTCACAGTATTACAAATAACAATATAAGCAGCTGCTGAAAATACACTTAAGCGCTCCAGTGATTAATTCAAAACAAAGGCACAATTAGTCTTACTAGGAGCTACTTAACTTAAAACGTAATTCCAAGGCATATTGTTTCTTATGCCTATTCATATAGACTATTTCCGATCAGAGGTAAGTGCTGTCACATATATATTCAATTAATAATTGCTTTTGAATGCCAAATTTAATAGGAATCTGATGTACAACTGTTAAGTAGTCACTCTTGTGCTGTGTTATGCAAGACCAATTCCTTTAACGGCATCAAATCCTTTCCTGATTTTCTCATTCACTTCAAGTGTATATACAGCCAGTGTTCTTTCTGTTCTTCTTTCCTGTCAGAGATAAGTAAAATGATTATCAGCTATTTCCCCATAGCAGGGAGGAAAGAGAATTAGTAGGGTCAGGGCCAACTTAAAATAATATTAACAGAATTCATATTTTTCTAGGGTCAGGTTTCTGGCACTTTGTCATTGTCTCTGTGGCTAGTACACAGAGAGCTAGAAGTCACAAGTTGACAAAAAATAAAACTAAAAACTACCCTTTCAGCCAAACAAACTCTGACCCGATTGAAAGGGGCTCTTCCTTAATGTTAAACCTTAGTGTCAGACGTGGGAAATTCACCAGAAACTCCCCAGTGATGTTAAACTGACTGGTATCAGTGCTAAGTGAAACCTGGCCAGACCAATTCAATAGAAAATACTGGAAATTGACCGTGACCAGGTTTCAGTTCACTTTTAAATTCAGACAGATCAGACAGTGAATTTAAAAACATAAAAAAAAAAAAATTCTGGAAATAAATACATAAAAAGCAACTTCCTGTAATTCCTGTGAAGGAGGAAGGAGGAATGGAAAAGAGAGGGTGGGGAGGATTACACTGAATTGAGAGGAGAAGAAATTCTAAATTTCCCAGAAGGACAAGGAAGAAAATGTGCTGTAGAAGTGAGGGCGGGTCGCAGGGAGAGGAAGAGGAGTCAGAGGGAGGAAATGAGCAGGAGAAGGCAGTTACTGGAGGAGAAGAAAAGGACTGATCCTGTTCGTCATCATTTTTAAACCATTACACATACAACACATGGCAATTTGCACCATGTGCTGAAAGGTGCCATGTGCCCTTACCACAAAGAAGCACTCATTGAGAAACCCTGCAGCTGCAGATTCTGAGGAACTAATAAAGTTTATCTGCAATGGAGGAAAAACTCTGGACAAGATCCAACTTTTCACTTGCCTGCTCTGATCCCCCGAAACTCTTTATGTGTGTTTGTGGGATTACTGTTTCTGTATCCTGAGTAGTGTGTACATGTTTGTGTGTGCCGTACCTCCAGGCAGGCCAGATGAACGTCTTTGATTATACAGTGGTTTCCAGACAGCACAGACTGCTTTAGTAAGAGGCAGCTCAGCTCCAGTGTAGCTAGACGCACTTTACCATCTACACACACAAGAGAAATATAAGAATAAGTAAGGAGGATACATTACTGTAGTTCCGCACGGACTTAACAAAGCAGTGTTAACATGGAATAATGTGTACAATGATAATGATAATGTCTAATATGGAATTAATGGACCAGAACGTGTTCATTAAACGTTTCAATTCACTTACACAAACTTCTTCTAATACATACTGTGTTTATACAGACTGTGTTTATACAGACTGTGTTTATACAGACTGTTCCCATACTCGTATGTTATTGTTCAGTTTGTGGTATGGAACAGCATGTCAAATAGTTAATTTCATATTCATCACACGGGCAGATGACGGTGGGTGTGTGTTACCTGGCTGTGCCGCCTGGCTCATAACTCTGATCAGTCTCTCGACCAGCACCAGGCTGTAGGAGCTCCTCTCCTGGTCAGGAACTGGCAACTGAAGGCGCTCCAGAAGATCTCGGTTTATACCTACAGACAGATAGCCAGACAGATAGCCAGACAGCCAGACAGACAAGGTAAGGAAGAAGTTCCATGGAGATATGGGGGCATAAACATGTTTACTGGGATGTTATAGCTTAAAAAACATTCATAACAATGTATATCTCTGTTTTAGAGAGCTGTTGATTCAACTGTATGGTCAATTTGAAGGATGTAGCTTGCGGTGCTGTGGAACTGCGTTATAGAGAGGTTCTGTTATTTAGCCTACTCTCATTGATATAAATGGAAACTAAATAGTAAAACCATCTGTCAGTTAGGGCTGCACAATATTAATAATTATTATTTTTGCATAATATTTGATTTGTAGGCCAGGGCATCTTTGCAGCACTACAGTATTAAATCATAATCGTTTTTTGACACACATTTTACCTTTGTCAAAAAACTGCAGCTTCTTGAGATCTGAATATTGCACGTAGCTAAACTGCAATTAATTGTGTCACCCTACTCTATAACACAACACACTTCAACAAGACAACAACATATACCCTCCAAAATAATCATAAAACTGAATTGGCACCTCTTTAAAACAATTTCAACAAAAACTGAACATTATCACTTCATGAAGGTAGGATTTATTCCAGGATTGCTGTGTTCGTTTGCATTAATTTTAGCTAGGTGTACCTAATGTCATGGCAAATTAGTGTATATTGAAACTAATTTGTTTAGATATAAAGTAGGAAATGAACAGTACTCTGCCAGAAACTGAAATAAACCATATGTATTCAGTTCTGTTGAGTTGAGTCCTCTTTGTAGAGATATAAGCACCTGTGCAAGGCATATATGGAACTCAGATATGGATACCAGTTAACTTCATTTACCTGTGTACATTTACATGTGTATAAATGATAAGAAAGGCCAACCTTTGCTGTGTGAGACAGCGTAAAGCAGGCAGAGGACAAACAGGGCGTGGTAGTCATCGGTGGTGCAGTCGAGAGCACTGTACACCATGTCTAAGAACGGTCTGCAGAGAGAGAAAATATAATAATAATATATAATATAATAATAGAAAGTACATACATTCTGACTTTCTTTTTATTCATTCTTTCCACTTCCAGACCAATCTAATAGTTTGCCGTGTTCAGATATATGTGAAAACGTACCTGCTCCTCTGTGTGTGTGTGCGGGTGGCTGCAGCAGTCTTCTCTTCATCAGTGATGTTCTGCTCCGTCAGCTCTGACACCTTACACTTCTCCATTACCACCATCTCTATCTCTGTTAATTACATAAATGTCCATACATGTAAAGTTTTTTTTTTTTTTAAATGCATACTGTTCACATTCACATCACACAGCCTAAACAAAACACACACATCATAGTTATGAAGAAAAATGTCACCAGTGATAATGAATGCAGAATCTGAAGTGCTTCCTTCTCTTCACTCTTCACCAGTTCATGATAAAATGTGTTAAAACAGCAAAAATGGACCAATCATGCCATCAGTGTCTGCTTACTGTTGACTGGAGAATGAAATATTCATTTTCAAAGCATAAAATCTACCATCCGACGTTGAGTATGTACAATGCAAGGAATATTTCAACCAATGATCTTAAGTAGTCATTTAAGTTACCAACTATCCATCAAAAGGTTTTATCACTTTTTTTATCAATCAGTTAAACTGGGTAGGTGTTGTTTTTCCACCCCAAATGGTACATGTGTCATTTTGAAACCATCTGTTCCCCCGCAGCCCACGGTGCCTTTAGTGTTAAAACCCACTTGAGAAACACTGAAGACGCACAAAGACTATCTGCAAAAAAAGTGTCTTTTCAGTCAAAGTAGAGAAGGAATCATTTCAGATTTTTTTTTTTTTACTTAAAATACACACTCAGATTCTAACACACACACGCACACACACACACACACATTTACACAGAGCAGGAGTGAGAGACAGGCGGAGAGGTGAGGAGCACAGGATGGATGGTGTGTCACCGTGGGAATGGACAATTGGCTGCCATGGAGATTGTGTTGGACATGTGATAGGTGGTACCATGGGGAAAATGAAAAGGTGCCAAAACAGGGGAAGCAGCAGAAAGAGGGAGGCCTCATCTCAAAACTAGCCAAAGAGGAATTGTGGATTAAATTTACTTTCTTTCTGCCTCAACTTTGATATTTGTTGTTTTAATTACACTCTTCCTTTTTCAGGAATCATGCCTTAACTAGAGAAATGTCTTACTTCTGTGTAAGAGGCAGAATAGTCTAGTATGAATTTGGCAATAAATATTAAATGCATGAAGATAACAGCAGCAAGTCATGTGCACATGTGTTGAATTAAGCGCCAAAAATGAAAAGCAAAAAAGCAGAGCACATTTACAGTAAAAGCTAAGCTGCTATCATCTGTTTAGTTATTCTCTCCTTTGAAGAGTTAGTCACTCTCTTTTCCGTTTGGAGACAAGGGCTGCTGCTGTAGTGGCTGTTGGGTAACCAAGGTGCATCATGGGAGACTGTGTCTGATTGATGGGAGTAAAGAAACACTCAAACACAGTCCTGTACTGCTGTGTCCAATGAGACACACACTCACCTTCCGCCGTCTCCCCACTCGCTCTGCTTCCCTTAGAACTCCCTCCTACTCCCTCTGTACCTTTTCCCTTCTCCCTCTCTCGGCCTCCCTCCCTCTCTCCTCCTCTGCCGCCGTCGTCGTCCCATCCCTCCTCTCCTCCTCCTCCTCCTCCTCCTCCTCCTCCCCCAGCCCTTTCATCATCCTCCTCCTCGCCCAGGTTCTTGTAGTTTGGCCTCTTCTGAGTTCTCTTGCGGCCGCGGTGGCGGGACAGCTCCAGAGAGCGCTCCAGAGACTCTGGGGGCTTGGTGAACCGACGCACACCTCCTGCACTGGCCTAGGGGGTTGGAGAAGGACAGAGAGTAAACAGAGAGGCAAGGGTGTGAGAAGGGAAGACATCACAGTGAAGATCATAGAGCAATTACTTGATCAACTCTACATCATGTTTTTTTTGTTATCATGTGCTTTCAAATATGTTTTTGGTTAAAATGAATCAGCGGCGGTTCTGAAGGCAAAAGGCAGATAATAGTTCAAAACAAGTAAGAAAAAGCAAATTGGAGGGGTGTATTTAGTCAGGTGGCCAGATAAGAAACCGTCCTGTTTCCAGAAAGCAACATCACTGTAACGCTTTACTGGTAGATGTGCATGCAAAAAAAAGAAAAGACACACATGAACATGCATTACAACACATAGCCTACATAAACACACACACATTTATATAACTGATGTGGCAATATCTTCTCACACATGCACACAAACACAGAGCCTTACAGTAAATCTTTCTTGCACTATCTTGTTGAAGTCCGTTCACACGCACAAACCACTTCCTCCCTGATAAACTTTATCAGAATAGAAGAGAAATTGACCACTTGGCACAAAAGCACACAAACACATACACAGTTGATCGGTGGCTTTGAGGCCCCTTTTGTGAAACCAAACTGGAACTAGAAGAAAAGCATTTCTCACACATAGCCATAAAACTGACACAAAAATGCAGATATGCACACAGGAAACAGCTGGTACATGATAAGATGCTGAGCAAAGATGTCAACTTACAGTAAAACTGAGTAACCATAATGACCATAACTACTACTATTAAGAATTCTAATAATAACATTAAATACAAGTTAAATGTGTTTTAACTGTTTTTGTTTCAGATTAAGTCAACCCTATTTATAGACTATTACCACCTTAGCTACTCATTTCCACAGAATACTTAAGAGAAGTCTTTTCAACCCTTCCTGTAGCCAGCTACACTATTAAAACTGATATCTGTATTATCTGTCCATAACACTGTAGCTGCTGCTAAAAACAGTGTGCACGCTGTCAGAAATACACCACAGACTAGTATAAATGTATGTGTGTGTGTGTGTGTGTGTGTGTGTGTGTGTGTGTGTGTGTGTGTGTGTTTGCACCTGTCAGCTGACTATGTTCTGGTAAACCGCTCACACTGAGCCTATGCTGAGAAATTAATGGAGGTCAGGGAGCATGTAAGGCAAACCTACACACATGCTCAGACAAACCACTGCACAAACACACCTAGCAGCACATTAAAAGAGGGCACCGCTTGCAGCTCAAAGATATATATGCACAAAACTTAAACAGCTGCATATACTTTGGAAAAAAAGATTCTTGAACCGACATGCAAATGTTGACATCATATATCTAACTGGTGCACTTGCAAGTAAACACTTATACAAAGAAAAAATTTTTTAAAGAGAGAGAAAAAAAAAACCCACAACACTTCTTCCAGGAAAGAGATTTGGGTTAGGTGAGGCAGCTCTGTCACTGTTCCATCATGTGACCTAATTTCCTGCCACTTCATAGACAAACAGGAAGTACCATTTGACCACCTGCACAGAAACACAGGCCATGCCTCATCTGTTTGTGTTTCATCTACAATAAATCAAACAATAACATGACAACAGTTCTATCTGATGTGGCGGAAGCAACTCATATCCACTATCCAACGTGCACCTAAAAGAATGGTTCTCTGCAACTTTTTTATCATCATTCAGGAATCGTCAGGATTTGTCATGGGCTTTTTCCAAAAAGGAAACATTGTGCAAAATCACAGCTGTGCTATGTGCCTGCAAACACGCAAAGTGAACAAACCCATCAATTTGAACATAGCTAAGAGCACATTCAAGCAACGAACGAGAACACAAAGATACACGCATCACTACAGGTTTAATGCAAGTAAATAACACCATCTGAAGTAGTAACTTGTCTTTGATTCAGAATAAGAAAACCTGATTAAACAGAAAATATTAATTCAAATTAAAGTCACTGTTGAATTCTGGGGTGCCTTTGAGGAAGGCAGACCGTCAAAGTCCCTGCTGTGAGCCGATCAGTGGCAACAACACAGGAACTAGCACAGAAAATGAGCAGGATTACTGGTCTAAAAAAGTCACATGACAGTGACATTTCACTGACATCTGCAGTACATCTTTTACCAAGTGCAACACTCGTTTTAAAAAAATGCAACACGTGGCACTTTTGAGGTTCACAAAATGCAGCGACAGAGAAAAGCACTGCTGAATGAACAGCTGGCAGGTAACTAGTTTGGGTCTGGCTACCTGCTGTTGTGGTAGACCAACATCATTAAGACATCACACCTCTTCTCACATTCACTGAAAAGGTAGGCCGCTTCTTACAACAGCCGCAGGTCTAGCGTGCACACACACACACAGCACAGAGAATAACCACAAGGGTTCTCAGAAACGCTCACTACCTCATCACGCCCACCTGGCTTCAAAAACAGATGGTCAAAAAAAATCAAGAAGAGGGGTGGGGGGGTGGGGAAACCAAATCGCGAGAAGAAGAAAATGGGAGGAACAGAAAAATGAGGGGAATCAGATGGGGAAGATGAGGGGGAGGCAAGGGGGAGATAGAAAGAAAGACAAAGTAAAAAGGGAAATAACATAAAGACTTAGATGTAAAAACAAAGAGCAGATGAGAGAAGAACAATAAAAAGAAGCAAGAACAGACAGGAGGTTTCAATACAAGGCTTAGATGGGAAATATAAATAAGGGAGAGAGAGGTTGAAAAATGTAAAGAAGAAAAACAATGTCGGTAATTTGCATACTGCTGCCTTGATGTGGGTGAATCATGGAGAAAACCATGACCCTGCGATCTCATAACCACCTACACGCACTTCTGGAACTCAAGTCTTTGTGTGTATGTGCATTCATGTGTATTCATGTGTATCTACGCGCATGTATCCATGCGGTTGCTGGAGCAAGTATGCTTGTGTGCTGTACTCCCAAGTGTGTGTGTGTGTGTGTGTGTGTGTGTGTGACTCTGTATCGCAACTTGCAGTCTGTTGTGTGTGTCTATATTGCACATCAGTGGTTTTTAATTCTGTGAGTGGTGTTTATTATTTTGTTTCTGGTATGCATGCTGGTCTGTACTGTGTGTGTTAGTGTGTTACCGTGTTCTTGTGAGTGCTGTGTATATCTGTCTGAGGGGTGAAGACAGATAGGTCTCCATTGAGAATGACCTCAGCCAGGGCGTTGACCATTGGTTGATAGTGGATGATCAGGAACACCTACAGAAACACAGACATACACGATTAGGATTGTAATCAGAGCGACAAAAATGTCTCTTAAAACAACAACGGTTCTTTAAAATGAAATGGAGCACGAGTGAAAAACATTACAGCAAAGTTCACTCGACCAGAAAAAGTATTTTGAACAATGCAAACTGTCCACTATACAAACAGTGTAAGCCTCCCAAAATGATATGATGATATGATATGGCTGCCTCCCACTAAGTAACCTGCTCATTCAAACCTGTTCATTGGACAGGTTTACCTTGAATGGGAAAGTAAAGCAAATATAAAACAAATCTACAAACAAGCTGAAACTCAAAGTTTACTCTTTTCTTATTCCATGTTTAACACATTTCCTGATGGATTAACCTATATGATAAACTGACGTTTTATGTGGATGTCCAATTAGTTTTGATGGGAAATGTAGTCATTTGAAGCAATACATTTCTCAGCGCATGCGTCCGAGAAAGGCTTTTTGTCTTTATTTGATAGGAAAGCTAAAGGGTGACTGGAAAGGAGCAGAAAGAGGGGATGACGTAGCAAACTAACTGATTGAGGCAGCAGTAAACCAAAAACCTCCGGGTTCTGCAAGGAAAATTACTGCATTTGTTAAAAGGAGTCTGGTGGCTTTGAAGAGAGCAATAAAACAACTTAAATTCCTCGTCAGACAGGCCTGTCTGATAATAAGGTAAAGAAGTGAAAACTTTTTTTTTGGGTGGGCATTTTTTAGGTGACTAAAATATGTTGTTCTGCTGCCCCTATCCACAGCAGTGCTTTGCTTAGCTTCCATGCCAATACCCTAACCCTGCCTTTCCAAACTGGGGCCGTGCCAACCACCATTTAACCCTTTAGAATCCAACCACACTACTAAAATATACTAGTGCTTTGGTGACGGTAGCGTCTGATGAGCATGTGTGTGTTTTACTTACTTGAGACAGCAGGTAGAGGGACACCTGAGGGTTGATCTTTCGATCTTCAGACTAAAGAAACAGAAAAATAAAAGGCCAGTTAAGGTCAGACAGTTAGCAGTTCTATTGCTAGGGGAAAGGAAGAAAAGAAAAATGCATAATGAGATTAAGGAGGAGAAAATGAAGAGACAAAGCATAGAGCTGGAACGATTTAATAGTCTTATAATCAGAATTCATTTATACATGCAGGTGAAGGCAACATACCATCTCGGGGCTAACCAAAGAGAAGACATAGAGGGGCAGGAACAGGCGATTAAGGAGGTGGTCGGTCAAAACGTCATTAAGGAATTCACAGTTGATAATGAGGATATCGTTCAGGTAGTGGAGGTGATCAAGGTGCTCCGCTACAAGGTCACTCAACTTTCCTCTGTTCTTATGTCTGGGACACAACAAAGAGAGGCAGAGAGAGAGAGAGAGAGAGAGAGAGAGAGAGAGAGAGAGAGAGAGAGAGAGAGAGAGAGAGAGAGGCGTGTTACTTAGGTAGTGGAAGTGGTCCAAAATCAAACACCTTCAGACATGAAAAACTTATGGTATACATGCTTTACTGTATATTATTTGAATGCATATATGGGCAGAACTTATATATATATTTATATATATTACATTGAGGGTTATATATATCATAGCTCCTGGGTGATTTTTTATTTGTGTGGCAGGGCTGTGTAGAATTTCTTTTAAGCTTTAACACAAATGGCATCTTCGTATATGTATAGATCCACAATAGATACTATGACACGGAAATACAGTGGGGAAAAAACATATTTTTACTTGAAATCCACTTAAAAAGGAAATTCCCAGGTGGTACAGTGAGTAAGTAAATCAAAATATATTTTATAATGCAGTGTATACAATGTATCATGCTCTTTAATAGAAATTAACACAGTTACCAATTTCAAAACAAGACTGACCACTAGAGGCTGCAAAGAGAATTACACTGAGACAGAGAGATGCCACTTACTCTTCATCTGTCTGCACGCACTTGTCCAGCTCGATGACATGGCTGCCAATAAACCAGACCAAGTTGCTAAAATATGGGACTGCTGTCTTATCTCGGATGTAGTGCAGCATGTGCTGGTTGTCCACTGGGGAGAGCAGGGTCAGGATCAAGAGCTGGGTTAGGTTTGTTACAAAGGTTGCCCACACGTATTGAATACACACACACACACACACACACACACACACACACACACACACACACACACACACACACACACACACACACACACACACACACACACACACACACATACTCATTCACTCACACTTTGTGACCCTGAAGAATTACCAGAATGTGACAGTTAAATATGATTTGAAAAAACAAACAAAACCATTTAAACTAAGAGACAAATTAAGAAAATTAACCAACCACAATAAGTCAAATTAAGTACATGAATTGGTCCGGTCAATCCATTGTTAATACAATAAAAAGGGAATATTACTGGAGTGGGATTTAGAGGAAAGGCGGTTCAATTTAAGACTGAAACAACAGTGTGACAGGGGCTACTTGTGCTGTAATAAAGAAAAAACTGCTTTTCTGTTGGTTTGATCTAAGCCTGTGATCTGAGTCTGCGCTCATCAGTGTGTCAGGAGACGCTCTCTCAAGATCAGTAATCTTTAGACAAAAGCAAGACCTTAGCCAGATTTGGTCCAACTATGTATAAGTAGTATTCACAGCATTAGTCATAGGGCAATGTTAAAACATGTTATACATTTAAAGGTAAAAGGGAAACTCCACCGATTTCACACATAACGTGTGTTTATACATCTTGGAAAATACTACTGCGTAGTAACTATGTGTAAAAAGTTGTTTAAAGCCTTTTGTAGCTACAGAGGGAAGTCAGCATCAGTTGGGGCTGAAAATGAAAAGAATCTGGAGGTGTGGAGAGAAAGAAGTGAGCTGCTTGAAGCTAGCAGCTCAAGGCTATATCAGCCACTACACAGACCTCTGAGCCAACTGTCTGCGGTTGAGTTGCACTGTGGATTAGAATCGAATTACTCTATCCATTGTGAGACTGTCAGTGTTAAAGGAGTACGATGTTAAATCGGTGGAGTACTCTTTGAATACTGTCCAAGTATAAAAGCCCTTATATCTGGGTGGACAGGAGGCTACATTTGTTGTTTTTATAAAGCAATAAGGTCAAATGAACGAGCAGGTGACGGTCAGCCTATCCAAGAGAATAAGAGTCCTGTGTCTTCAAATTCACACTGCAAGAACAGCAATAGAGAAACTACAGTGCAGAGCCTACTGCATTTTAACACACAGGGCACTTCAGCGGAAACCACAAAGTTCAGACAATCACAGGGAATATCTGAGAGGGAATTTAGGATAGTTCTGTTCTGTGAATGACTTGAAATGTGAACAGTCCTTGTGTATTTCCACTGCCTCATGTAGTTGTTCAAATGCAAATAAAAGCTGATGTCAATGTCAATCCACAGCGGTCAAACTGGGACAGGTAGTGAACGGTCAGCCAAATAACATGAATGAATTACATAAGATCAGAAACTGACAATTCACAAGCTGCCACTACTCAGAGTCACAGTGTAATACCAGCTTAGTCTATTAGTGGATCAACTGAGAATTAAAGCCGGGGGAGATACTGACTAAATAACCAGTGGCTAAAACTGTCAAACCCATCACCAAAATAACAACCAACATGTGGGGCTCAGCTGAAATTAAGTCTGTGAAACAATTAACCCAAAGAGAAAACAATTTAAAAAGGCATGCAGGGGTTTCTGCATGTATGTGGGCAGGTGATACAGAATGGTTTACAAGAACAAGAACTGCAAGGATATTCATACCAGTACATTTGCAACAAATACACCGTTAGGAACAAATAGAGCTGGGTATCAACAAACACTGGTATGTAATGTGTGATGCTAAATCATTAAAAAATGTGTCAAAAATGTGAGCTATTGCAATCAATGCAAGACGATAGATTAACAGCAACTATACTGATGAAAATCAGCCAACTTAGTAAAACACTGACTGGCTTACAGGCTAATTTAACACTTGTTGTAGAATTGTATCTGCATCAGTGTAGTGTGTGAACAACTGGAAACTGTATTAGGAAAAAAAACAAAACACATGTTTTAAGGATACCCAGCCCTAAGAATAAGACTGAATGAATGGAACCAACTTACATGAAACTGGAGTTAGGCAGATGGGGCGCGCAGAGGGAGGAGGGAGAGGAGGAGAGAGACAAGGAGAGGAAGAGGAGGAGGAGTGGTTGTTGAAGAGGAGGAGGAGGAGGAGGGAGAGGGGGAAACAGACACAGGGTTAATGTGAGTAAAGGGGCGACTGTGGAGGGGTGGAGGCTGGGAGGGACCCCGCAGGTATCTTAACAAATAAAACTGCAAACAATGGCACATCTGGCAAAGGAGTTTGTCGGTTACCTAAACATTTTAACCAGGATTTCACATTGCTTTTTAACTGTGTATGAGAAAACTGAAACAAGCAGTTTCCTCGAAAACAAGCTACATTACAAGGGAAAACATAACACAACATAACATAATGACTAAAATATCCTGACGGTAGCCTAATGAGTCTGGATGCTGGTTAAAATCCTTTTCCAGGTTGTCATTTGTTGCAGTGTGTGACCCAAAGGAATCAGTAGGAAGCATCAAACAGTGACATGTTCAACATTATAGTGCTAAAAAAAAAAAACAGGTTTGCAATGTACAAACCCATTTTCAGTGTTGTGAAACTGTTGTGCAGGTACTTAAGTCGTGGGTTAATTTAAAAAGTAATTAAATTAGCAAGGGAGGTGTTTTGAACTGTTTTGAATAAGCCACAGCTTACAGTGCATACAATCACAATGCAATCAATATTTAGCATTACAGCAGTGTCTCAGCCTGTACATCAGTTTATAGATGTTCTGTGTGGTCCCCTGACAATTCTCAGATGGTGGGAAAAAGCAATCAGTCACAGTTGCTGCATTAAGTTGATGCTTCCGTCTTTGACAGGATTCCTTACTACAGCATAGCACACTGCCAGCCCATCCATGATGCATCACCCACACCACCAGGTTACTTTATAAAAATGACTTGTATTTTCATTGTGGTTAAAGTACATTGTGCTAAGTGTAATGACGTCAGTGCTGGGAGTTACAGGATCAAGACTTTATGGACGCCATCAGACACAAAGTTGTACGGTGCAAAGCAAACATGCAGGACCAGACAAACAGGTACGGAGACAGACGGGACGCCATAGTTGATACGTTGTAGTGACTATATGTTGAGGCAATGTTATGTATAGTGAAGAGAAGCATGATATGCGGAGAAAAGCCAAACCCACTAAATAACCTCCGCCTCCCCCCCGGAGTGACAGCGACAAGCTCTGAGCCCAGAGGAACCCTGGGAGACGGCAGGAAGGAGAAGCAGAGGCTGACGCAGCACAGTGCAGAAAAGCAACATAACCTCTTATCCCGTTGTTTACAGACTCACAGCATCACTGCTGGAAGTCTCTTTTGAAAAAAAAACGCAGTGTTAATGTGTAGAAGGTTTTGGGGGGTAACAACTTCATGCGGGCGGTAGGGGGACGCTTAAGAGTTAGTTCCTTTATAGTTAGTAAATATGTGCACATGAAATCAGTGAGGCGGTGATGCTGAATCTTGTGTTAACGCCGCCTTGGGCTTTACACACACGCAAGGTTCAGTTTAATTGAAGTTTAACCCCTTTTTCGCTGCTTTCTCAGGTACATGGGTTCCAAAAAAAGCTTTAAACAAGTTTTCTGCTGATTTATATGTTACGGGATCATAATGTCCAACACATATAGTTTATATGAAGGATTCAAGGTTGTTTTATTATCATTTACAACACAAGGTTGGAGAATGAAATTCAGATATAGTTCCCTAAAAATAATAAAAAATAAAAAGAATATAAATATACATATTCATTTGTATGATGAATTGCTGAGGAAGAATTTAATATTGATTTATCTCACAGCCTGAGGGAAGAAGCTGTTTTTAGGTGTGGTGATTTGGCAGCGGAAGGTGGCTGTCTTGAAGCAGATAGGAAGTGTGACAGTGATATGGTAAAAATGTCCATTAATGACAACAACTAGCTGATTTGTACATGTTTTTAGTACATGGCCAGGGACTTTATCAGGCACTGCAGCTTTAGACATATTTACTCTCAGCAGGATTTGTCTCACATCCGCTGGGTGTTGAGGTCTCTCTCCAGTCGGCTGGTGCCTCCGCTTTGCCTCCTCGATGGCAGCTTTCAGTCTTGCTCTGGCGGCGCTGTATGCTTCCTTGTCATCTGATTGAAAGGCAGCTTTTTTTGGCTCTGAACAAAAATGCTCACCTCTTCATTCATCCAAGCTAACGTCCATCTGGTTGGGGAATGATTTTATTGCCTTTGTGATGACCACATCATCAACACATTTGCGGATGCATGATGTCACTGATGACGTATATTCCTCCAGACTGATGTGGTTTAAATGGGTGGCAGCCGCTGGAAACATGTGCCAGGCTGTGCAAACATTCCTGTGGAACTGCTGTAGCTCTATCTGTCCACACTTTAACAGTTTTTAACTTAAGGTTTGACCCTTCTCATCAGCTGGGTGTACGTTGGCAGGAGATGCAGGGAAAAATGGCCTGATAAACCAAAATTGGGACGTGGGAGGGCTTTGTATCTGTGAGCAATCTTTGTATAGACACAGTCCAGTGCATTTGTTCCTCTAGTGGGGGATGTTGATGTGCTGGTAGAGGATATATCTTTTAAATTCATAGTTAATAAACTCATTTTATGCATTAGTTGGCAAATTCAGGATTATTTTGATTATGTTACTTTTCTAAGTCTCTTTATACGTATAAAAGTAAAGTATGACAGTAAAGGCCTTTGCACGCCAAGTCCCTGCAGTGTCGTTTTAATTCCGTCATACGATTAAAATCATTATGCATAGTAACCTTGCACAGTGAGTCCGATTCGTTTTATTATTCTATTCGTTATTCTGAAAGAAAAAGGAAATATTGGGTCCAGGGTGTCAAGCACAAGGAGAGTTTCACTTGCTGATAAATGAGCTGTTTGATCCTGCTGCCGCTCTGTCTCTCTCTCCTCCCTCATTTCCTCCCTTGCTTCTCTCCACTGGATGTTCCTCCACAGGCAGATGCCACTCTCTGCATGCACCTTGCACTTGGCACTTGGCCAGTAGGAAATCGAATCTGTTCTGAAAACTTAAACGACGGACGAAAGTTTAGGAGCCGGTGTGTAAACATGACTGAGGTCGTATCTATTTTTACACGTGCAACAATTTTGGATGACAAAAACAGATTTGGTGTGCAATGGCCTTAAGTTGGCAGGAGCAAGAGTAATACAAGTGAAACTAATAATGATAAGATAGGACATGGATTATAGCTGTAATTGTGAGCAACTGAAAAAAAAAGAAAGCTGCAAATGTATCTAATTATTGATGGTTATTTGATGCTGGCTGGATATCCTCATGACTGCAGACACTGCATCACAATTGGCCTGTTACACCACAAACAAAACCAAGGGCAACTATCTGAATTAAGTAACGGTACATGTTACTGAGATAACAAGAAATAGAATAAGATAAAGTGTTTATTTGATTCAGTATTTCACAAAAACCCTTAATTTGTCCTTAATAAAACAAATTATCCCTCAAAGTGGCTTGGCTGAATGCCAGAGAGTTTCAAGGGTTACAGCCAGATCTTGCTGTATATGGAGTCTGAACTGTAGGCATGTCTACATATTTTCTGTAGTTCTGCAATTTCAGCTGGCTGTTAGAGGTTAACAGCTTTCAACTGTCAGGTTCTGGGCAAATATTTGCTGAATTCTAGTATCATAGACCTGCTGACTGGGATATCATTAGATAATATGTGTGGCTAATGACAGATGGTGGTATTACTGTAGAATCAGAATGCACTCGGATGTAGCTGTCCTCAGACCTGCTTAATTGATACTTGAAATTCTTTTACTAGTACCAGGTTGCTGGGAATAGTGAACTCATTTTAATTTGAGAAAAGAACAGCGTTAAATGGTGCCTTAAAAACATATATTTTAGTCTACATCACACTTCCAGAAAGCCACTTTTTTAATACTAGAATCATGATAAATTACATAACGTAGAAGGAAACGAAACATTTAAGGCTGAAAATTTAGCAGACTGCGTGTTTGTGTGTATCTGTTACAGGGTTACCTGTTAGTCATGCTCATGCACCAGAAGCAGCAGCAAGAAGGAGGGAAGGAGTACAAAGAGAGGCGGTAGGCAGTCCCAGCATCCCGTGAGTGAGTGTGTGTGTGTGTGTGTGTGTGTGTGTGTGTGTGTGTGTGTGTGTGTGTGTGTGTGTGTGTGTATGGTTAGCATGTGCTCATGCGTGTTATTGACACTCACCTTTGTAGACGTTGAGTGTGATGGTGCGGACTGCGATGCGGACCATACTTTCAGGGTGGTTGAAAAACTTAATGGCCTCGGTGTACAGGGCAAAGTCATTAGTGTGCTGTGTGTGGGAGACAGAGAGGGGGCGCCGGTGAGCAAGGCACAGCATTGCACCGCCGCTCTAAGGCCACAAAACGACCACAGAGAGAGAGAGAAAGCAGCTAGTAGAGACAGAAATTCTAGGCAGTATCGCAGATTACTAGGAAAGGACAGAATGAGACTAGCTATTTAATTCTCTATTTAACTGAGAAATAGATCTACAAATGTTAAAGTGCAAGTTGGGACATTGTTTTTTTCTTTTTTTTTTTACAGAAATACAGGCTGGGTGAATACTGAGAAGTTATTTTGAGCTGTTACAGGATTAGTGTATAGTACTAAAGAAGGAGAATTACTCCACCATCAGTAAACAAATAGCTCAGTCAACTTGTGGACCCAGGTCCAGACCCATTAACATATCAGCATGCTGCACTTGGTGAATTTGCGCATGACAAAGCAGCAGCTCTGCATCTTACAGTCCTCTCTCTCTGTGCCAGGGCCTGACCCTCTACCCAAACATTCCTCAGTCACTGCGACCTCCAGCAAATCACGGTTGAGGGTCGGTCATGCAGAGGTCACAGGAAATGAAGAAACACGACCCTGACACCAAACCCAAACCAAGAGTGTGTCCTCTGCTCTTAAAAATGTAACTTGTGTAGATCTGACAGGAATTGATGAGGCTACAGTAATCAGCTATCCAATAGCGCCATCTGGAGGAATATAAACTACAAATCAATAAATTATAAATTGATAATAATAAAGTGAGAAATTAAGTATAAACACCAATACTGTAAATTGTGGGGGAAAAGGGATTCAATTAAGTTATTATTATTATTTAGTGTTTTAAATATGATTTGCCTGCTTATGAAATGTCTTCCTTTGCAGCTGGTTTTACTTTTTTTGTTCATCCATAAATTAAGTAAAGTGAAACTAAAATAAGATAAGATTTGCTATGGGTTATTTAACCACATACATAAATACTCTCAGATCTACACATTGGGTCTGGTTTTGGCTTCAGGGGTAAAGCTACCATCAACAGTACACCAATAACTTTCCCCAGCACACACAGGCCAAAGGAAGGACTACAATCACTGCTGAAACAATGAAGGGTAACAACATCATCAGAGATTATTCAGGTGGTCAGTATTCTATTGTTATACCATCTATTATCACACTAGATCTTTTTTTTTTTTTCATTGTTATAATAAATATAACATTCCCATAAATAAAAGGCAACATTGACACTTTGAAGAGAAAGATGACTTGTGAACAAGATCAGCTCAATCAACTAATCTACACAGGAAGCTGACGTTCTGACAGGGGAAATGTGTTTGGTGGATAGAAGTAGTCCAATAAGTACAAACACAGGTCAACTTGCACAAAATGCAAATGAAAGCCTCTCATCTTTCGTCTCTTCCTTCCTTCCTTCCTCTATGTCTGTCAAAGAGAGTGCACGATAAAAGTTGTTGGCAGAGAATGAAATATGCTCTATGCCCCCACCCCCCCACGGCCTCACCTCATTGTAGAAAAAGTGAACGGTGTGGTTGTTGAGTTTAAGAGACAGGGTCTTGAGGAAGGAGATATAGTAGGCCATGATCTCCTCGTCCGAGAAGTCAAACTTGTGGACGATGATGGAGTTCACGTGGTTGTTCGACAAGAGGTAATCTGAGGAGAGGAGAGGAGAGGAGAGGAGAGGAGAGGAGAGGAGAGGAGACTTGATCAGGCTTGTTCACACAGCAAATGCTTTACAATGATGGCTTTTTGTGAACTGCTGACAATCTTGCTATTTACCATCTAGGAGCCCAGTGATTGCAGAAGAGCACAGTGAACACCTAAAACTGAGAGTGGATTGCTTCACTGCACTACTTCCTTTTTTGCTCTGCTATCATCAGATCAGTGAAGTTGGACTACTGCAGTCACAGTTGTGCACAGAAGTCAGAAAAGACTTCATTCCTGTTGCCACAACTGTCATTTTGCAATACCTGTGGAATTTAGCAAAATGCAAGCCTTACCTACTTTATATAAGACATGAGCCCACTGTAAAAACTGACACTTTATCATCAGTCTTTGGTTGCCTAGAAACAGCAAGACTGCAGAAGGCTTCTAATGATCTGTATATTCCTGCAAAGAAAGGCAGAGCAACGTGCCTTGCATTGTTAAGCCTACAAAACACATGAAAAAAAGACATTTATGCATGTCCACATTGTACATTTTAGGGCAATCCAATGCAACATTTCTGTAATAAGTGTGATGGGCATATTTCATGGCTCACTTTGAATCCAGACTAAAGCTTTTCTCAGCTCTAATTTATTTATTTACTTAAAAATATTTATGTAGTAAGATGTTCTGATATATAATATAAAGTAACACATTTAAATACAACAGGAGTGCATTATATAAGAAAACCTCAAAACATGCTACAGAAATGAGTCATTACACAAACTGATAAAGCCGCAGTCTCAAGAAATACTTAAGACTTGTAGAGTTGCATTATGTTTCTAGTTTTTCATATCAGTGTTGATTCAAATACTTACACAGGGAAGTCTCATGGCTGATGTTCTCAAACAGTATGTTGAGGGTCTGGAGGAGCTGGACACAAACATAGCGACCCGACTTCTGACGCAGGATGTTCAGGAAGAAGGCAAACATGTTCTTCTCCAGGAAAAAGCTGAACACACACAAACACACACAGGATACAATTCATCATTACTTGATCTTAAACCATAATCATCTAAAAGAAAAATGTTTGTCTTTTGAGGCATCCTGGTGGACGAGTGGCTAAGATGCATAACACACCACCAATGTGTCATTTATACCCTGCTCTCCATCTCCCCCATGTTTCATGTCTGCATCTAAACTCACACATTTAAAAAAAGGTAATCATTTCACACTACTGTTCACAGGAACAGATCTCAGACTGACTTACTCCAGCTACCACACAATAAATACAGAATTTAGAAAGACAATAGTACTCCAGTGCTTTGCACCAAATTGGTTGTTTTATTGTCTAACCTACAGATCATTATCGTAATGTTTGACTGCATCTCAGATAATTCTTACTAAACAAAACCGGAATTTTCAGTTTTTTTAGTAAGAGTTGTCTGAGACATTTTTCTACAGCCAATGTCTACAAAATACAGCTACCAGCCTAGAAAATGAGGAGTGACCATTAATGCCCATGTTTATTCCACGGGTTTCTTGATAGCACCAAGTACGCTTTTAGCATACTCTGTGGCTTTTGTGCTCTGCAAAGCCATTTCCTGTTCATATGATATAGCCAGAGATGGATAGACAGAGGTGATGACATGCAGCGATAACTGCAGACTTTCCCCTGATCATGTGCTTGACTCCCCAGAAATGACTAAAATGCTTCAGTGGTTTAGAATAAAAAGACGTTCTCCGGCAACATTACACTGCATCTTAACTAGATAAAACACACACAACAAGTGGTTGTCTATTACTATACAATAAGCCAACTGCTTAAATTAAGGTTTATTTTGATATTTACAGCTACAAGATTTTAATTAAATACAAATATTTAATATTCCACACAAGTGTGTTCAAAATTGAAAATGTTGCTACTTTGTGCAGAGTCAACGTAACAGGAAGAAAATCAGGAATATCTTTAATATACAGACACGGCTTTACTTAGAAGAGCAGCATGGTGGCTCAGTTGTTAAAGTTTCTATATAGAAAGAAGGTGAGGGTAGGAGTCTTGTTGAAGTATGATTATCCGTTTATGGTAGTTATAATATTTTCAAGGTTTCCTGTTCAAACATCTCCATATCAGGTGATCAGACACGATTAGTAAAAATCACTGAGGAGCAATCTTCTGTGAGTGACCTCAAGGGGCTCTTTGAAAGTGCACAATCCATTAGTTAACAAAGTGTACATCTGTTCAAATGCATGAAAGAGAGGTTACAAAGCATGTGCACAATAAGCAAACCGCAGCTATACGATTGGAGATTCATATACAAACAAGCTGTCACTTTGATTCCCATGCAGGCGTCACATCTACATATTAGTAGCTCCAAGCATAGGTATTTAGCATAACAGACATCGGTACTTACTCAAACACAGAGCTGTCATTCTGGTCCCCCCAGATGAGGATCTCTGTGATGGAGCGGATGGTCTCCACTAGAAGGTTCCGGTTGTGGTCTGTCACTGTGGTGTTTTTGGTCAGGACATGGTACATATACCTGATGGAGGGACGTGAATGAAGGGGGGGGAGTTGTGAATGCACAGCTCAGTTTTAATTTATGAAGACACATCCATCTTTAAACTTAACAGCAGACTGCAGGGATCTAGAGCCAAATAGTGTAATGTAATAACCACCAAGTTAAAGCCCCTACACTGACCTGATTAGTCTTCAGACTGAGCTTGACCGACCTCTCCCTCACTGTCTGCTTATTTGTTGTGGTGGGACAATTATAAGTTTAGTCACTGTGATTAGTGCATTGACTCACTAATTCCCAGCACACCTCTCCATTACCTTGAACTATAGAACAACTGAAAACACTTGATGATTCCTGATGTTCAGTTTATACAGTTTATAAGAACCATTAGCAGAGTGCAGTGTCAATTCCGTTTTAGGGTGGATTTTCACTTGGAAGCGAACAACTACAAGCTAGCTCACACCTATCTAACGTTACCTCCCCCAAGCGGAATAGAAACGCCACAGCAGCCACAGGTTACATTAGCTGACTAAACCTCTCCTGGACATCCTCTACAGTTGGTTAGCCTCAGTTCTTTCAGCTGCTAACCACTGAGCTAACGATAACGCTGACAGTCGCTCTCACCCAGTTATCACAGCGGCTAACGTTAGCATATCCAATGCTAGCTACTCACTTCAAATGGTCCAAGGAGTGGATGTTTTTCGTTTTCCCCTGTCCTCCAACCCAGCTCCGTGACCGGCCAAACATGGTTGCGGTTTTAAGTTGGGGGGGGGTGTTGTATTGCCAGGCGCGTTATTTCGCTCAGGTTAGTGTCCGCGTCCGTCCATTACACCCACTCTCCCGTACAGATATAGCTACTTAGCAAACAGAAGGTGATAGCGGCGCTGAGGGGTTATTACGTAACAGGTTTAAGGTATGGTTTGTCTGGGAGTTGGAGTTCTTTCACCACCGCAGAAGAAGAAGAGCGAGCGGGCCGAAACTACAACGTTTACGTCCCGCGGTAGCAGTGACGCTCAAAGCACGCGACACCGTCATCGCGAAGACGAGTGACACCTGCGCAGACCAATCACAGCAGAGCCCGTCCAGCCGACCAGCCAATCAACTGCCGAGGCTTCAGACGTCGGTTTATGGTGAGGACTGTTTTGATGCAGTTGGTAAGATGTTAGAAAGGGACGTGAGGCTGTGAAAACGTCGGCAGAAGCGTGTTTGTGTGAGTTTTCGTGGGGTTTTTTTTCTGTTACTGGTGTGTGTACAAGAAAACTGTTCGCTGGTAGATAATGCTCGCGTTGGTTTTCTCTACCGTTGCCTGCTACTGTTTTTAGCCGTAGCCAGCTGGCATGGCGTGAATGCCGCAAACCCAAAGAACCAATGTCAAGAATGCGTCGAGCTAGCTAAGATGATATTTTGATACTGTCCGTGGGTTATTATTAGCTATGAACGCCACGCAACATAACACTACTTGTGTTGCTTTTCTTTTCTTCCGGGCCGTACAGATAAAGTAGCACTTTATAAGCTGCCTCTCAATTACTGTTTGCAGGTCGGGACGAGCCGAAATGGACGCCCCAGCCCCAGCCTCATCCTCATCACCCCTCAAAGATTTTTAGCGGTGACACCAGCAACTCCAGTCCGCCACATCCTGGCCCCGCACAAACGCAGGAACCCTTTTCTATGACACATCCAATTTATGCCCAGCTTGATTCGGTAGAATCGCTGTTGGACGAACTCCCATATATGTTTTATCTGGGCCTGTTCTTTGTGAACGTCCTGATCCTCTACTATGCCTTTCTGATGGAGTACATCGTCCTGAATGTGGGGATAGTATTTCTGCCTGAGGACATGGACCAGGCGCTGGTGGACCTCGGGGTGCTGTCCGACCCGGCCTCTGTCCCATATGACACGGACACGGAGCTGGATGTGTTTGAGGGGTACCTTGAGTGACAGGGCGGTCCTGGAGGACGAAAAGTGGATTTAAGTGGTGGGAGTGGAGGTGGTGGTGGTCATGAATCAGAGGTCTGGGGAGGATTGGGCCAGCCTGAACACTCCCTGCTCAGTGATGTGGGGAAAAAAGTGGATGCTGCCCTTTCCTCACACAGATATATCAGTGAACAAGTAAGCAGAGCACAAAAGACATTGAGCACTTTAGGTGTTTTTTCCTATTTCATGCTTAGAATAAGATACTTATAATAAACTTGTATGTACTATTAGACCCAGTGGTTACCAGTATTTTGAGCATTTTTATCCCCAAAGCTCACCATTTGTTATGTCATGTTGCAACATAATCTATAAAAGTATTTTGGTAATGATCTGCTGTCACACTTGTGTGTCATGTCTCTAGGTTGTCTCGACTCAAAAGGAGGTAGCCCGAGGAAGAGATTCAGCGCCGACGGCCGTATGATCAACGACTGTGGGGAGGAAGCACTCTGCACTGGATCAGCTGTTAGCCAGTCTGTTGCCATTCAAAAAACTGGTACTGGGATCTGTGCCTCTCGCTGTGGACACAATGAAAGATAAAATACAAGCACAGTGTGCTGCTCGGGAAGGAGACAGCTGTTCACTGTGGATGAAAAATGAACGTTACCAGAGATGTGCAGCATGATTCAGGTTGTCTGCAATGCAGCCAGTTCAGATACACTTTAAACTGAACTACCGTGGCTGTGCAAGATCTGGTAGCTGACTGCTGAAGGACGTGAACTGAATCTTGTCACAGTGTGATGGCCTACACAATGTGACATCCCAGAAGAACTGGCAAAGTGCGGGGAAACAATGTCCACTGTAGGTCTGTTGCATACGTAATCACTCACTCACAGAACAACTTGTTTCAGCTGTCCTTTTACGTTTTCAGAATGCATTGCGAGTTTGCAGGCTCACTCATCCTCGAGGCGTAATTTTAAAATGTCTTTTGAGGTCGCCCATACTGTATTGTCTGCTTCAGGGATGCACTCACTCTCAGGAGCACGGTTAGGAACTCGCGCACTGGCAAGACATAACACTGACACTGGACGCAGGCTGTGAATTTGTAGGATATAGGAGAGCCCTAACGTCTCTGAGCTTTCTTATAAATCAGGAGCACCACATCTCACTTGCCACACTCTTCACTGTAAAGAAGAAAGTATTCAAGTATCTAGGGAGCGTTACTTCTTTGATACAGTATGTCTTCTGATAATCTATATCACTTTAGTAATGCGGATCATAAACAGATTAGATTTTTCCACTTAAAGTTAACAGTAATAGATTAGCAATGACAGCGGTGATCACAGCTGGCCAAATGTTCAAACTGTTATCAGTATGAGTTGTGTCAAAGGCTGGAACCTCGGAAGAAGTGCTTCAAATATTTGACCTTTTCACTATTTGTTGCATCCATTTTTGTTTTTATAATGTTGCAAATGTGCGTTAGAAGCAGAGAAAAAAACTCAACGCATGATATTGGTTGTGTGTGTTTTTTTTAACTAAACTGTTTTATAGCACTTTCTTCTGTTGACGTTGTTATGAATTTAGAATTCAGTTCATAAGATGTTTAAATCTTGGCAGCAATAATAAACTGGATTCAAGCAATGGGGGCCCTTCAGCAGATATACGAATGAGATCATACACAGCATTAGGTAATTATTCCATCCATCCTTCAGGTTGTGGATGAGTGGAAGAAAACCACCTTGTGTCAGTGATGTTCGTAAAGGGAGAGTTCACTTGCTTAACGAGATATCTGTAAGCCTTGAAAGTACTGTAAATACTGTAGGTCTGTGAGGAGCTAATTAACTAAACGTTAATTTTGGAAGCAATACAAGAGGAACCAATGTTTTCTCGAAGCGTACAGCCCGGTACTGCTGCGAGAATAAGCAGATTGTGCATAATAATCACCGCACTGTGGTTGTTGTCCACCAAATAAACGAAGCTGTAGAAACAAATACCATTTCAAAATATTTGCACATGCACGTTTCATACTCCAAACGAGCTTTCGTCTAGAGTTTCGTTGGCTGACCGCGAGTGTGTCGAGCATTACAGTCTGCTAGACATCCTTTCACCCAGATGACGTTTCACCAACACTTTGCCTACTCAGCTCAAATGGTACATTTAATATAGCCAGATGATTGTCCACAGCCACACCAGACCCCCAACCACTTTAATTCTTTCTTCTCTTTCTGGATAACGGCTGTCAGCGAGCAATGTTTTGTGAGGACATTTTCAATTTGATTGTTTGCATTAATCAACGTGTCCATTTAAAAAAAAAAAAAAAATCTGTTTTTGGCTGTATAAAAATCCACCTGAAACAGCGTTTAGATCCCATAAAACTAAAGCTCAGGATGCATCTATATTAATGGAATATAGTAAAATATATTTGTGTTGAATTTGATGAGAAAGTCATAATCAATACCTGGTAAGGATTTACTGTAGGTGAACAGTGAGTTGTTAATAAATATTAAAGATAGTATGTAATTGAACTACATCATGCTGTAGGTAGACGACATTAAAAGGCTGGTGTCTGAGTTTTACCTGAACTCAATGTCAGTATGACAAGTTGGGTAACTCGTATATCCCCATATTCTAAATATGAGTGGCAAATAAAGCAGTCCGATGGGATGGGTCTTTTTGTTTTGTACAGAAACTGTTTTAATAAATCACTGGTGTTAGTTGCAGGTATAAAACTTTGTGCCATTTCCCCGGCATGATACCACACTGTGCTGGTCAGCTTCTGATCAACTCTCCTCACGGCATCTTAGTTTAGTGGAAACCTGTGGGGGGACTGGGACGTATGAGACCCTCTGCTTGGGTTTTTTTCGGATGTCTCGTCGTCATCAGCATACAGCCTTTACCCAGCGCTTGTGTCATCCCTCCACATGTACTTCTTTGCAGATGTGCACATGCTATAATAAGCTATGGATCGTAACAGAGTTTTATTTTCCAATGTGTATTTAATAAACTTTGAGCGAATGCCAGTGTTCTGTCCCTTACTTCAGCTGTCATTTATGCGTTTGTGGATGAATGGGAGCATCAGGAAAGTAGTTCTTTAAAGTGGACTTTGCTTACTTGTTGCCACGTGCTCTTTTGGTGTCACTTTACATTGTGTCCACAAGAGAGCATCATCGGACAAAAAGACAACGACAGCAGATGGTGGAATGCTTTGATGCCGCTGGTGCTTGATAAAGGAGAACCTCAGCAGGTCACAGTGGGCTTCTGGGCTTCAGATTTATTTAAAATCTGAAGCATTTTCCAGGAATATACTCAGGAAAATGTCTGTGATTGACAGCTGACACAACCATACTCAAAGCAACCTGCTGTTGGACTGAGGAAAGGGTTAAAATCTGTGAAATCATTGATATTTCAGATTGTTGTGAAATATCAAGTAGCACCATGGCATGATACTATTTCACATACAGTAAAACACAGGACAAAAACATTTGAATAACATAGTTTCCCTTTCTATTTATGGAGATTCAAATACTGCTTGGTCCTTCTACAAAAAAACAATATTGTTTTATTTATGAAATTAGTGCTGTCATTTTAATTCCATCACATTCATATAAACAAGTCAAGAACATCCAGCTGGACTGTGTGCTTCACATCTATTACGTACTTCACAAAATGCAATTATGAAATTAAATTGTTGAAGAGCCGCATAATCTTGAAATCAAACGTCTCAGATTAGTCTGACAATCAGACTGAATTACCATTTTGGTTCATTCATCCACTTAAAATAAACAAATATGAGATGTGGGTTGTGGTTAGGAGGACTGTTGGTGATTTTCCGATGTTCAAGCTTGACTTTTAGTAAAACCCCCAAAACACTGGATCCCCTAGTTTGTAACACAGGCTTTCCTGCTAAAAATTGTTGTACCAAATACTTATGTTGTCAGTACAGTTAAGCGACCCCCTCTTTTGACTATTTGCCTGTGATAGAAGAAAAAAAAGACTGTCCTCACTCTACACAGTGAGTAATGGCTTAAAGGAAAGTAATTTAAGTAAGTAAAACGCTCCAGAGATACAGCATGGCATTGTTAAAGGTCAGTTTTGCATCAAAAAAGAGAACAGAAACCTGTTGGCAAGGAAGTAAAATTAAGTTGTTATTAAACCATTGAATTCAGTAAACACATTCTGAAATGACAAAGAAGAGAGAAACAAATATAGCTGATGACAACATGAAGTATTTTATTTACGTTAAAGTGCCAGGTAATTGTTAAGCAATCTATAATGTACAGCCACAGAAGGAGAGCACACAACACATAAGAAAAAAATAATTACAGTGGCACAACATACAAACTAGCCATTATCAAAAATACCATAGTGCAAATGTGCTTTTTGAATTCGAACCAAGTTTAACACACCCATACACACATCCAGTGTGGTGCTGAAGGATTAATTATTTCCCTGAACTGACTGGAATCTCCAGCAAGGTGAAGTGATGAATAAAGCAGCAAAAAAGTTTCTAGTTTGTTTTATTTGTGTGCACTCTCACTCACTCTCTCACTCACTCACTCACTCACTCTTTGGTTACTGTTCCTCAAAAATACATGCTTTAGAAAATGTATTGTGTAGTGTAAACATCCACGACATGCATGATAAAAAGCTTGTGACTTAGTAGTTCAGAAGTTTCTATTCTAATGGCAAAGGATCCGGTTGTCCTGCTGCTGAAGTCTCTCAAACACTCCGTATGGAATGCACTGGTTCCACATCCTGTGATGAAAAGAGATGGAAAAAAGAAACATATTAGATCATTTAGACTTCATTAGTTTCTGTTTTTATTTGGTTTTAGTTTCAATTAGTTTCCAGAGTGGGTTTGCCCCTTTCAATTTAGTTTTTATTGCTTAAATATGTTCAGTTTCATTTTCATATAATATGGGGGGTGTTTGCTAGAGGCAAGATTTAAGATGTTCAGAATAGGTACGCAACACAACCCTTGACTCACAGTCAGGTAGACATCCGAGTCTCAATAAACATATGTATCAATGCCTCCTCGTGCTTGTTGTGTTGACAAATTTAACCAAATTGACAAAGACTAAAACTAAAGATATTTTGCGTTAAATTGTATTTTATTTTAGTTAGTTTTGTAAGTAAACAATATCCATAACAAGTCTAGTTTTCATTTTTATTTCAGTCAACTAAAAAAACAAAACTAAACGCCCTGCCTAAAAAAGGGGACATGGTATGACGATGATCTCACACACACACGCACTCACACCCACACACAGATAAAAAACAGGTTTTCTCACCTCAGGGTCTTCATTTTTTTACAGTTCCTCAAACTGACTCCTAGGCTTTGTGCTCCGACATCTGTTAGCTTGTTATACTTCACGCTGTCAAAGAGAGCCACAACAGTTCACACTTTAGATGTGTCTTCATTCTGTACTACAGTATCTACCAATAGTGACATGCAATCATTTTACATTAAAGCCAGATAAAAATAATATACAAAATACCATAGTATCACAATACATTTTCTCATGAATAAAATAAACCAACAGGAAGATATTACTTGCTGTTATGCATACAGGGTTAGATGTGAGGACGGAGGAGGAAGTTATCACAGCACACATACACATAAATACAGAGAAATGTCTAATGGAAAAAACAACAGCTATATAGTATATATAGATATAGTCTTACTCCAGGTTAGTGAGGGAAGCCATGTGTGGCAGGACAGCTGCTAAACTCTCTGCCCCTTCATCAGAAATCACATTACTGTAAAGACTGGAAAAAACAAAGGGGAGGAAGAGGGAAGTGAAAATATGTGGGTTTACAGGATGTGCCATTTTTGGGTGTTGATGTGTGTATATATATATAAATTTGTGTGTGTGTGTGTGTGTGTGTGTGTGTGTGTGTGTGTGTGTGTGTGTGTGTGTGTGTGTGTGTGTGTGTGTGTATGCGTGCATTATATACCTTAAACAGTGCAGTTTGGGAAGCTCCCTCAGTGTGGCTGCCAGTTTCTTCACCCCGTGGTCTCCTATACAATTCTGTGACAGACTAGAAACCAGAAGGAGAGAGCAAAAACTTAGTTTACACCCATACTGCACATTAAGATCGTAGATTTATTTTGTATTGTGAATTAAAATAACATCCAGGCCTGCGAAGAAATTAGGTTGAGAAAGGTAACCATGTTGTACTCACTTGAGTACCTCCAAGAAACAGAGTGAGACTAAAGCATCAGCCAATTTCTCAGCTCCTTTGTCCCCTATCTTACTGTTCTCTAGACTGAAGGAGGAGAGAGAGAGAGAGAACTACCATCAGACACTAGAAACAAAGTATAAACACAGAGAGATTGATGCACTGAGCGAGAACGAGAGGTAAAGGTGTGTATATTTACTCTAAGTGCTGCAGGTTATGTAGACCTGGCAGGAGCTCCCACAGCTTGGGAAGAGCCAGGGGACCATTCTCTGCACCAAGCCTAGAGGGGAAGACAATGACATTAGAGTCATCATTGTGATCATCATGATCATCTTGATCATCAACTTCATCATAAATTAAAGTGCCAAATGTCAGAGCTACTCACTCAAACTCCAGCTTGTGTAGCTCTTTAACAGCTGGTACTCCCTCTGCCAAGATGGAATCTGATTGACTAGAGCTACAAGTAAAAACACACACATCAGTGGCCAGGCACATATGGTTTGTATGCTGCAATATGACCGTATATCTGTGTGTATGTGTGTGTGTGTGTGTGTGTGTGTGTGTTTGGGGGGGGGGGATTACCTGTCCGACAGCCTCTTGTGCATATGTATGTTCACCAGCTTGGCCAGGTGCTCTATGTGACACAGTTGTGTAGCTTTCAGGGGGTGAATCTTGAATTTGGAGACGGCCCCTTGTTGGAGCCCTTCCTCACCACTCTGCTCCAGCTGCTCCCATAAGGAGATGACATCAGCAATGCATGCCCTAGAGGTTGACACATATAAATGGAAAATCATTGGACAATGATGAAGGAATAAATTGCCAAAAAAGTTACTATTATAATGGTGGTCCTTGAATTCAGACAGAGGCAAACATAAGTAGGCTTCTCATTACTAGCTGGCAGTGAGGTAGTTAGGCCTAGTATTGTAAGTATGATGAAGGAAAAAGATAAGACCAGGCTCTTATTTTATTTTACCCCTGCTAACGCACTTGTAAGTTTTCCTTTTGAATGTTGTGAGAGTAGAGGTTTTTAAGATGAGGACTAACACCAACATCTTTGGTAATTTTCGGGTTGCTGGAGTGTAAATGTCCCCAAATCAAATAAAAAGCCGGGAAGAGCTCCACACATTAGCCTAGACTCTGATAGTATCTAATATTGGATCATACACAGTGGCCGGAATACCAAACAGTAGATGTGCTGGTCACAAATGGGTCTTTTTTTTCTATATTTCTCCTAAAATAGTAGTAGTTAGTCAACTATATGTCCCTTGGCCTTGAAAGTAATGCGTTTACTACTGTAAGCCAGTTTGGAAAGACATAAAACCAATTTCATTAAAGCAGATAAACACCATTTAATCAATTAAATACACTTTCACTGTTGTGTTTTTGGTTTTGGAGAGGATACAGAAACACACCACCACACTGTACTCTTGCTATGGCCCCATGCACACTGCTGCTTTGGAACGTGGCAAAATCCAGAACTGACAGAACTGCTAAACCTTATCAAGGTTGCTAAGCTGATTGGCCAATAGCTGCTTGGTGTAGGGGATAAACAAACTCAACTGATACCAAGCAGCTTTTTGAGATGTGGATTGTAACCTGTACCTGTATGTGCTGATGTTGTTGAGCCCCACCAGAGCTCTGAGTCCAGAGATCTGTATCCCAGAATCCTCCAGATCCAGACAAAAACTTCTACCTTCGGTTCCACCCCTTTCGAGAACTTTCTGCACAGCAAACCCGTCCGCTGGGTTGAGTGGGACTCCATGAAATGTCAGGACCTCTGGAAGATTTGCTGCCAGGTGAGCAACTAATCTTGTGCTGCCACTGTCTCTGCTACCATCACCATGCATGGAACTTGCCTCATAAACATAGTGACAAGCCTCCAGGATCTGAGCGGGGCTCAGGTCACCATGAGAAAGACCTTCAAGGTGTTTTGTTACTAAAGCCTGCTTGCTGACCACCATATCTCTAAAGGCAGTCTGTGTGTACGTGTGAAGCCTTTGCAGCTCTGTCCTGTTGTAGAACAGAAGCCCGACTGCAAATCGTTGAGTGAGTTCGAGCTCCTCCCTTTGAGGGCGCCGACGTGCCTTTGAGCCTGACTGGAAAGGGAGAGTCTGGAGGAAGGTGCGGTCTGATACAGTCCTGGGCAAACAGAAAGTGAAAAAGAGTTAGGGAAATTCAGAAAGGGTAGGGCACTGAAGGTGAAGGAGAAAAGAGTCTAGGAGTGGAAAGGGATACACTTATTCTGCTTGCTTATGCTTATCTGAGTTTTTTCACTTTCAAGGACTTCAGTTCAACCACTTCTCATGTAATCTTTTCCTCCATATTCTACTGGAAACATAGAACAATACAGTTATCTTCTGATGAAACCATAGACTTTTACCTTGATAGAGACAAATGGACCCCTGCGAGGTAACTCTGAAGGAAAGGATTTGTCCACAACAAGATGTAGTCATCAGCGTTTTCAATGTCTGTACTCCCTTTGTTTCCACTTTCTCCATTCTCTCCTCCTCCCTTCTTCTCACCACTTGAGACGACCTGCTTTGTCCTCAGTTGGTAAGAGAAGAAGAGTCCTGTCCTGTGGCCGAATGCCTTGAGCTTGGGAGATATGGTCCGTCCAGTGGGAACGATGGAGGAGTTTGCTTTGACCCCCTCCCAGGCCAAAGTACTCAGCTGGGACAGCAACTCTCTCGCCTCTGTTCTATCTACTTCCCCTCCACTCACATGCATCTCATCTCCGTCCACTTCATCTTCCTCTTTCTCCTTCTTTTTTGTCCTCCTTCCTCTTTGAGTGCGAGTGTGAACTCGCGCTCTGGACTTTGTCCGAGCATTTTGGTGACACCTCTTCCCTTGAGAACAACTTGAGATTTGTGTCTGAGTTTCTTCTACAGATTCCACAGATATTTGTGTTTCAGGTTCAGCCTGTGAGTGTGTGGTCTTACTGTCCTCTTCCATTTTCAGATGAACCACTTGATGGCAGAGCTCAGTTAAAGTTCTTGGAAGGACCCCCAAACTTTTGGACTGCTCTAAGACCAAGCAAACCAACCGACATAGTCCAGGGTTCCAGCAGAGGAGATGTATGTAGTTGCTGTTTTTTAAGCTGTCCAAAGCAGATGCTCTGAGGTCGGGATCAGTAAAGTACTGGGACAAATATGTCTCTATGTCTGTTGGGGTGAAGCCACACATCTCCAAAAAGCTGTCTGTCCGCCTTAGTAGCTGGCTGGCTGTGCCTCTTGGTCGGGTAGAGAGCAGAAGAGTGCAACCTGGAAGGAGAACTCTCTGAAGGATGGCAGAGTATAACTGTCTAACTGTATATGTCTGTGCTTTACTGTCTCTCTGCAATGACGTTATCACGTCTTTTTCTTGAGCCTGGAGTAGCGTTTCATAGTCGCGCAACTCGTCAAACCCATCAAAAATGATGAGCACACGCTTAGGAGCAGCAAGGATTTGAGCGTACACTGCCTCTGGGTCCATGCAGGGAGGGGAAAAGGAGGAGAGGTTTAATAGGAGTGTCTGAAGGCTAAAGGTCGGCTCTGTTAAAGTCAGTGCTTTGCCGTCTAATAGGAAGACAAAGTCAAACTGTGGGATGCAGTCCTTTGACCAGTCAAGACACAGCTTCCTGATCAGTGTGGTTTTTCCCATGCCAGCATTGCCAAGTAGCAATATGTAGCGTTTGGGTTTGTCTCCACTGGAGTCTTTGAAGATCTGAGTGGAAAAAGACAAACATACAGATGAGTTGCAGCCAGTATAGCCATATAACAAATCAAACTAAAGCAGTGCAGTGAATCGGGGCCAGGAATTTTGAGGAAGATGAAGAAGGAGGAAGAAGACAAACCAAAATTATCATTAAAACAAAATAATTTTTGTTTCTCATCTAGACAACATAGACAAGATTGATTGCTTCCAGTGACAACCTGATGTTTAAAGAAACTTTGTATTTATATCATTAACACAATCTGGCTGGGTTGTTTGTGGAGGACAGTCTGAAGCTGCAGTTTAGCCAGTTTGGTGTCTGTTGAGCTAAAAAAGTGGGAGGAGACTGACAATGTGGTAGGTTTAATTACTTTTACAGTTTTTGAGAAAAACTAAGTGATGGACTTCATAATTCCTACCGGCTTAAAGCATCTGAATATTAAATAAATTTGGCCTACATTTGATGAAAGTTACAAAGCGGTAGAGGAACTGGCAGCTGACTAGTATTGAAATTAGCTGTGCTAAACTATGACACCAACTATCCAACAAAAATTAAACTCATACCTGACTCTGCCCCAACAAGCTTTTTTGCCGATCTGTATGTCCCATGATGACTAGCTCCTTATCCAACGTCCTGTTTGTGTTTTTTCCAGAGCGAAAGATCTCTCTCTGGCTAACTTGTACATCCACGTAATGAGAGGTTAGGGTAAGGCCTGCTTCCATATCCTGGCAGGTTTGACTCATGTGGGCTTTGGATTCCTGAATGTAGTCCTTTACAACCTCTGAAAAACAAACACATTTACCAGACTGCTTCTCCAAAAAGCATGATTTGTACTTTTAGGAAACTTTAAAAAACAGAAGAGAGGAATAAAAGCATTTCATAACTTACGTGGGATATCAAGAACAGTGGGAGACTGAGGAACAGGTGATTCCTTACATGTGGACAGCTCTGAAATGCAACATGTCATGATATTTGTAACATGGCAACGACTCTGCAGGGTAATTTATGCACAAGGAGACACAAATGAGACGTATACTAGTGATGCGTGGGTCGGGGTTTTTTCCAACCCGTGGGTCCCACATTTATTTAATAATTTGACCCGCTCCATCCCACCCCGCACAACCGCATCTATTTTCACAACCCGCCCCACCCCGCCCCGCCGCTATTAAATACGCGTTAAATATGTCATTAAATAAGGCTTTTATTTGGTCTTACAAATGTGCTTGAAAACAGCCTTTCGAGAGGCACTGGAAACTGGCAACAACAAATTCAAATCTTAATAAAAATAAATATATATATAGGGGCTATTGTGACATCACTAACGTATACTGATCCAATCCAACTTCATTTGTTAAGCACTTTAAAAACAACCAAAGTTGACCAAAGTGCTGTACAGGAGAAATTAGATACTTACCATGGTTGGGGGAGAGGGGTGAGACACAAGTGGGAGACATGGCTTTGCTAGCAGTGTCTGACAAAGATCCTGGTGGGGATGAACTCATTCTGACTGGTGCTACTGCACTATCCACTACACACACAAACAGAAGAAAATAAAAATGAAGAGCCTGCATTCACATAAACAGCAGCTGGTAGAAAGTGGCTGCCATGCTGTTGCTTAAAAGGCAGAACAGAACAGTAAATGTGGAATCATAACCTACATAACGCTGCCAGTATAAGATCTCTGCATATGGGTGCAGGAAGTAGAATTGGCACACACACACACACCCACCCACATACATGCACATCTCAGATTAAAGGGTTTTTTATTCACCTGGGGAGAGGGGTGGCACTTGGCGTTTGTAAGGTGGTGAGGCAGCAGGAACTACATTAGAAATAGGAGTACATACTGTTGATATCATATATGTGCAATAAACAGACATACACGGGGAGCAAGACAAGTTAATAGAAAATACATTTAACACAATGAAACACAATTTAAAGAAATATAATGTAAGAGAATCTTTGAAAATGAAAACACAGATATAATAAGTATAAGTTCAGTATGTAGAATTACAACAAATCTCATCGCCAAAGTCAGAATTCAAATCTCGCGGGGGAAGGGATGGGGGCTAAACAACAAAAGCAAATGAGGATCAAGGACTGAGACCTGGGATACTCCACATGTTATATTGATATGCCACCATATACATAATTCCAAACAGAAGCAAAGTAGTGCCATCTAGCTCGTAATACTATATTGAGTCAAAGGCAAAGGATTCAATTAGCCTGGCATCAGGAGACTAATTTGCAAATGCATGTTAGGTCAGTCTGAAACCTCTCTCTATCAACAGGCGCAGAACAAAGCGCCTCTGGATGCAACTGATTAGACCTTCAACCAATCAGACCAATGAAATGTGTGAAGTAGTGCTGAGCGACACATGCAAGTTGGGGCAGTGCTTGGTCTGTTTTGAAGCAAGAAAAAAATTGCCTAGTCTCAAGCTTCCTCAAATTACAGCTACAACAGTACACTAAAATGTGTTTCTGAAAACAACTGAGGCAGCAAATAGGCTATGCAGTCACAGAATCTTGATTCAAATTTGATCAGCACTGCCTAATGAAAAAGTTTGGGTCTGAGTTTTGTGAGCGAAGTGCATTGGGCTGGACGGACCTTCAGACTGGATAGACCTACAACCAGTCAGAGCAGTGAAACAAATCCTGACCGGTGACGCTTCTCTGTCAGCCACTGTATCAAACCCACCCCATATTAGGTAAATGGTTGTGACTGGCCTGAGCAGATGCAGGACTGGTGTTTTCTTTCTGAATGAAAGGGTTGTTCGATGCATCTGCCACACCAAATGAAATATGAGCTTGCAGATTTGTCTGGTCTCAGGCTGGAGATTAAATGGGACTATGACTAGGTGATTTTGGCAAATTAAATATATAGATGAATATGAAAGATTTCTGGTGGACCTTTTTTTCTGAGCATTTAACATTCAAAGAAGATTTGATGTGCTAGTTTTCAGGGCAGTTACATGAAACTGAATTCCTTCACAAACAGGATGTTTGGTGGGGCTATTACATTGGACCGCACTAGATTGAACAGGTATACTTATAAAAAACAGTAACTCAGTGTGTGTACTCACTCACCAAATATGTAAGTAGGAGCAGCTGTGTTGGGAAAACTAATAACCGGAGAAGAGAACCCCAGTGTCTGAACAACCTGGTATGCTGAATTGTCTGGGATGGTGATAAACTGAATGGAGGGAGGGAGATGAAGGATTCTTGGTGGAGTGGTGGAGAGGCCTGCCATCTCTGCTGGCTGTGATCCTGTGTCAGTGCCTGCAAATCAAGCAGTGACAACATCCTTATCGTTCTCTGCCCACAGGTTTTCTTAACCTTGAGCTTATCAAAAAGGGGGGTTGACAAAAGACAGCATGCTGATAGTTTACATTCCGAGGACATACCAAGGGATTTAGTGTGAGAGACGTTCCTATTTGTAGACATGAAGGCTATAAATCTCAGTGGTCAACAGTATAAGACTAATTGCACTAGGCTTGTGTACTATCAACTATAAACACCTCATCCAAAAAGAGTATATCGAGTAAAGCACCAAACTGATCTGGAGGAAGTCTGGTGAGGTGAGAGTTCTTCTTTTAGTTCATCAATGTGACCTCTCATCTGATGACTTCAAAATTAAACTTCCCGTTTCTCGATCTGTACTCCAATGCTACAAAGGAACCAAGTCAAGCATAGCCAGCCAACATCCCTTTAACTCATGAGTCTAATCTTACACTTACTACTACAGCAGCCTCACATGGTTGTATCGTCCGTAAAATGGCATTTTATTAATCTGTGATGTCATCGATACATGATTTAGTTAAAGTTTGGCTCAATTTGCAACAATATTGATACAACCTTTCTTGTTTTTTTCTTACGACTCCCTTAATAGCAGTAGCTTGAATTACTGTAGATCAACAGGCGCATTAGCTCTTTAAATGTTTTAAAAACCTGCAGTGAGTATCTATGCCCCAAATAATCCATTTACAGCAGCAACATTTGTAACTTACCTTGGTTGACAGTTGGCTTAACCTGTGCCTTTTTGATTTCTGGTCGACCTGCAAGAGTTGAAGAACTAACATTACAACATGCAAACTAAAAACACTGGGTAAAACCTGATCCCATGGGGGGGTCAATCAGCGGCCCGGGTTCGAATCAAACCTGCGGCCCTTTGCTGTGTGTCATCCTCTCTCTCTCTCTCTCTCTACCCCCCTTTCCTGTCAATCTTCAGCTGTCTCTATCTAATAAAAGCATGAAAAAGGCCTAAAAAATTACTTAAAAAGAGAGAAAGGGTATTTTGATCCAGTAACCCAACAGTAATGTAATGTAACACCAACACTGGGCACTCATTAACTGCAAATCATATCGTAGTAAATTTGTCTATCATTCAATTTCTCTTATTATATGCACCTGAACTTTGTTCTGGAATAATATGACTGACTATAAAAATTATAGAGGACAAACAGCACAGTAATAAAACATTAGCTATGAGATGGGCTTATGGTTAACATGACATTTGAAGGTGCAATGTCATAAATGGTTTACAGACATTGAACCACACAAACAAGTCTGGATAGATCACCTGCAGCTCTTTGCCTTTTTGGTCTAGATGGTGTGTTCTCATCAGAGCACCGTTGCGACCGGGGAACTGGAGAGGAAAAATAGAATAAATATAAATAGAACATGTAAACCTGCAATATAAGCAAGTAAAACTGATACATTAGTTTGGGGTTGCATAATGTTGCAGCTGTAAATTCTTAATGGAAGTTTTATATGACAAAGGAGTGATCAGGACAGTTTTCACAAAACGCTGCTGTGAGTGGGTTCTAGTTAGCGGCTGGTCATCTACCTCTGGGTCTTTTTCTCCTGTTATTTCTTTTGTCTGTTAGTGTGTCCGTCTGCCTCTGTTCGTGGCTGTCTGGGCTGGGCAGCTCTTTTGGCATGGGTACGTCACCTGAAGTGCATAAAAGAGGAAGTAAAAGAGTCAGTGAAGCAACTAGCAGACACAGTAGACAGAAATGATTGTTATTCTCATGAATTTCAGTACTGAACTGAAAATCATGACCGTAAAGCATGTTTCTCCAAACATCTTGAAGAATCGAAAAAGGAAATAGGACTCACAACAAAAACGTCACAAAAATGAACCCTTGTGTTTTGTTGGCATTGGCTTTACGTTATTTTTATCCATTTTGTTTTTCTACTGATGTCATTAAAAGCTAATATGTAGAAAAGTGAATTTATAATCATTTTCTCTGCCACTGCTTAACTTTTGCAGAAGGTGACTAAAATGCAAAAACAGCCACATAAAGCAATGTTATTACACTAAGGAAATATTTTGTGTTTCATATGTTATATGGAGTATGCATAAATGAACATATATTATTTTTATTTAAAACCCTTAACAGACAAATGAATGCTCAGTATGGTATCCTACAGAGTGACGTAACTTATGTTTGGGGTTAGTCCAGGTCAGTCGTGGCATGTGGACATATATGATAAACACATGACAGTATCTAATAACAGTTATTAATCTATATGCTTCTGTCTATTATTCATCCACAGTCCATTGTGTATGAACATGTCTGTTTTACAGTTTTAGACCTTTTCTTTTTCTCCTTTATCGCCTATCTGCTGTTATGTGTCAGCAGCTGCAAAATGAAAAGAGGAGATCCTTACTGAAGTTGGTGAGTTCATCCATACAGTTCAACAACGAATCGCCAAAGAACAGATCTGTGTCTGGGAAAGCAAATGCATGGAGAGAATTAGACAATAGATTACTTTTGTATCATTACATACTGTACACTGTACACATGAATGAATGCAGTATGTGTGAGGGGGTTTGGTTGCAACTCACCCATTATCTTCCCCAGGTTATCTTCATTATAATTCAAGTATTCAGATAAATCATCTAAAACACAAATAAAGAACATTATTGGAAGAAACAGTTTGCTTTCCTTTCTTTCACTCATATTTGCTAACCATTTAAATGTCACAATGCATTGAATGTGCATGGATTAACAAGCTCTGCTTCATATTTTGGATAAAATAGGACAGAGGCACCAGGATCTGAGCATCGCACCTGAGTCTAGTGAGACTCCAGATGTTTTATCTACTTTTTAATGAGCTCAACCAGTCACTGAATACAAATATTTTTCTAGTTAACTCTCCCAATTAGATTAATGAGGTTCTAGTAGTTTTATGGAGTAACTTTCATGCAGTTCATCAGTGTGTTGATTCATGTAGAAACAATCTGAAGAGCTCTTTTCTACAGTCTAGGCTGGTAATTCAGACTCAAACTACTAACCTGGCAAATCTCCCAAATCAAGAGTGACATACGGATCCAGAGCCACTTCCTGCATCCTGGCATCTAATAGTACACACACACACACACCCACACATAAAGTGAAAAAAATGAAGATAGTGATGCACGAAAACTGAAAGCATCACGTTAAAGTTGCCTGAGCAATGCACTGTACTCGCAATATCTTAACCTCTGTGCACTGATCAACGTCAGATGTGTCATTGCAGCCATAACTATCAGTTGTTCTGCACAAGTTCTCATGTTAATTTCACAATCTCCTCATTGCTCATTCCTCATTGTAAACACAATGCTGCCATTGTTTTATCTGCTGCCTGTGCTTTGCCTTGCATCTGCTGCAGATAAAAGTGCTACTATTTAAAATGTCTTCACATGAATGCACTACTTCCTGCATCTTTGTTGTACAAAATAAATATGATGTTACAACCTTCCCAATCTCACTATGGTTGGTAGATATTAAACTACTACTGGGGTTGTTTTCTGTGTATCCAGGTGACTATAGGGTAAATTATATCAGTATGTCTGACACTTGCAGTGCACTATCTTCAGAGGCTATTTTTAACAAGGTCTTCTATTTTAGATAAAATGGGACAAAGGCAGCAGGGTCTAATCATCTCACCTATAGTAAGAGTTCAGATCTTTTATCTGACTCTTCAGGCAACATTGTCCAAATGTTCTACCTGAAAATAACAATAGTTTCAAAATCATTTTGATATGACACTGACTTGTAATAGGGTGAATGGTGCCTCTCTCATTCCCCTCTGCACCCCATACGCCTGTTTGTATGTGTCTTTGGGCTCCGGGTCGGGACAAGTGCACAGTGCTTTATGGCACTAAGTCACATACCACCAACTATGTCACTGAGTTTGATGAAACTGGGCCATATTTTATGGAGAAAATGTTTCCTGGCTTTCCCTGTTGCTGCTCATCCTCTACTTGTTGAGTTTTTTTCGTGCTGCCCAGACTGTGAATTCAGATCACCGGGTGAGTGTGTGCAGTCTTTACACTGCTAGAACAATAGCTTTGGACCAATGGGAAGAGGAGGTTTTGTGCTGTCCATATGTAGGTGTATAAGGGAATTGTGCCAAATCACAAAAAATACCAATTCTTATATAATGTTGCTCAATGGGCTCAACCAGTAACTGAATAATTTTACCCCCCCCAAAAAAAACTCTTCAATTCTTCAGAGCTCCTTTCTACAGTCTAGACAGCTCAGTCAAACTCAAACAATACCAACCTGGTATACTGCCCATGTCAGAACAGATATACGGGTCCTGATCCACTTCCTGCATTTTGGATCCTGTTAACACACACACATAAAATGGGAAAAAAATGAAGTGAAAAAACAAAGATATTGATGCACGAGGACTGAAAGCATCATACTGTGTTTAAGTTGCCTGAACAGTGGCAGCCTAATGTGTGCCAACATCAGTTGAGGATTTGGCAAGTCTTGGAGAGTGTCATTGCAACCACAACCATTTTCAAGTTGTGTACATTCCCACATTAAGTTTCACAATTTCCTCATTGCTAAATCTCACTGTAAAAAATATATTTTTGTTTAATTTGGTGCTGTTTATGTTGCAAGCTGTGGTATCTGCCTCCAAATATCATAACACAAGTAATGATAGATACACTAAGGCTGAATAAATAAACTAATAAATGAACCAATAAAGTGTGTGATCATACTCTTTTCTATATACAGTATTACTGTTCATTACACCTGTCTAGGGACTGCAGTTGAGAATTAGCCAAAATGGCTAAATTGGCACATTTGCGGTTAAAGACCATTCATTCCTCTTGACAACATATTTTACATGATACAACGTGATGAAAGTGCTCCAGGCTCTAAAAAACAGGACATACAAAGTGACTGTATACTGAACTGTATAAATAGAAATAAATGCCAAGCTAGGCAACAATTGCCAAATTCCATGTGAATTACAAAATGCATTCTCATTAATATAGGACTTCCTGTATCAATGTGGTACAAAATCAAAATGGCAACAACCTTGAACAGTTTGTCCCTGCACAAAGACATAAATGACACAGAAAATGTCCCGGCCTTTTCATGCCTTTATTGGATAGTGACAGCTGACGATCGACAGGAAAGGGGGGTAGAGAGAGAGGGGATGACACGCAGCAAAGGGCCGCAGGTCAGATTCGAACGCGGGCTGCTGCAGCAACTCCGTATATGGGTCGCTAGCTCTACTGACTGAGCTAACCAGGCGCCTGTGATATGAATAATTTATAAATGCAAATTAAACATATTATTTATACCTTGGATTCAGAAAGAGTCCTGTTTCAGGGGTCAAAAGCCTTCACAGCTGATCAGGAAAACGTCAACCTGGGCCGGTATTATCAAAACTCTGTAATATTACACTGAAGACTCTTTTCAAGAGCCCAGTTTAGACAGGGGAAAAAAAAAATCTCAGCTAACAGACTGACACTTCTTTTACCTGGTGACTCACTCATTTTCACCCATCAAATGGTAAAAGGGAAAACAGTTTTATTTTCTCTGGCTTATGTGTATGTATGCGGTTTAGCTGGATGTGGTTTTTTTGTATGCTTGCTCTTCTCTGTGCAGCAGCTATCTAAGACACTATCAGTCTAAACACCTCCAGAGCTCTCTTAAATTTAAGAATACGTCTAAGTCAAAAGAAATAAATAGCTTGTATTCTTACGTTTGTGAGTAGGAGTAAAAGAAAATTATGGTTAGATAAATACAGAGACTGGATTCTTATATATGAATTTCCACCATGAACTGCAACATCCCCGATTTGAGTCCAGTCTTTGCAGAATCTCTTTTTCTCCTAAATTTCCTGTCATCTTTCTAAAGGCAGTGTTGAACAAAGTCGTAACATGCCAAACAATAATAATACAAATGTAGCTATTAGAGACGACAGAGAAAAAAAAGACGGGAAGAGCAGGGAGGGAGGGGGAGGATAGAGGAGAAGCAAGGGAGGGAGGGGATGATGGAGGAGAAGCAAGGAAGGAAATAAGAGTTGAATACCAAAGAAGTTTCTTTGTTTAGTGTTGAGACCTGGAGACCTGTGTGACAGCGTGTCCCAACATTGCTACAAGTCCTATTGATACTATTATGTTATCATTTGGTATATTTGGGATATGTATGTCATACTTCTGCCCTGTTTGAAAGTGAAAGTAACAGGTCTGACACGATCCAGTGGCTGAATTTGATATTTAAATTTAGCACTGACATTCAAAGCTACAAAGAAAGAAAGACCAAAAACAAACCCACTGCATCAGCTAGAAGTAAAGCTACAATATTTGAATGTAAACAATTCATGACACAGGTTATACAGTACAATACAATACATGACCCCTTCCTATTGAGATGAAAGAAGCAGACAGAAGAAGTCTGTCCCTCTTATGATATTATTATTCGATAAACCACCAAACAAGGTTGGTTCAGATAATACATAGTGTGTGATTAATGTGAGCTGTCACTTTTGTTTCAATGTAGGATTATTTCAGACGTAGACAAGCCCTGACTCGGCCTACAGACTTAGACCACCATCGAATGTCAGTCTGTCTGCTTATTCCTGGACAAATCACGTAAGCTTAACAACACAACATGTATTGTTGAAGGTATTCACCTCCCTTCTCTCTCTCATTCAGTTCAACTTAACATAATGGCCAAGCTAACATCGCTAACACAAGGCTATTCCGAAAGTTTAGTCATAAATGAAAGGTAGGTGGGGTCAGCATTTTTATCTCACACCAATTGGTGTGGACGTGAATGCTGTGACTTTAGTTTCAGTGAGAGACTCTTTAATGATGGCTGCGTTACATTCAGATGAGCCAGTTTCAGGGTATGATGCGTGCTCACTCACTGACTCAGCTTACCAGGACACTTAATGACCCGTGTTAATGTTGGTAGTTACACCTGTGGTTTTGCTGCTTTGACAAGACAAAATGGCTTCCGTGAGAGGGATCTATTGAGACCTGGTACAGCTCTACAGTATCAAAAGAATATTTATATCATATTATAACAAATCAAACCGTCCAAAAGAAGGCTGTAAAGAATGATCTTTGAAACTTGGACAGGAGAAGAGACAACATAGCTTGTCATGATGATTACCTTGGTTACAGTAACACAGACAGACAGTTGAACATGTTTTCTATGCTCAGCAACCACAAACACAGATTACCCAGAAAAAAGAAGTGCAAGTAGTGAACCATCACAGCGTTGAAGCTCAGCAGGAAGCCACTGCTTATAAGGTACGGGGACATCAAGAAGAAGAGTCTGACTCTCAGCTGCAAGTTTGGCAACTCTATCGTTATTCACTGGGATGCCTCCTCACTCTCTGTTCAGACCAAACTCTACGACCACTCTAGAGGCTCCAGTGGATAAACATTTTAAAGAGAATCCTCCACAGGTATCTGCAGTGGGCGATTTGTTCATTTTTAACATGGCGGATAGTCCAGTGGGACCCCCCTACCGATAAGAAGACTGGTTCTTTTAAATAACCCGCTATATAAGTTATATAGTTTGGAGAATTTCATAGATACAAGGCAAAACTGACGGAAGGGCGGGACTGAGAGAAAAAGGCGCAGTTACAAATACTTCAACACCATGGACAACGCCAACGATTGGTCAATACAAAGCACAGTTAGGAAACTGATATTACAGAGCCATGGTCGGGATTTGGCGCCCTCTAACTTGCACAAACCTCGGTCAGATAAAGGGTCAGCGAGTTCATAACGCAAGTTAGACATTACAGTATGATGTTCCGGACCTTTGCTTGAGGAAAATTTCTCTAACTATTCGCTTGCAAGACCTGTGAGATTACTTTTCTCTGACTGTCTCTCGTCTCTGTCCTGTGTGTATCTCGCTCTTAAGGCCCTTCTCATCGCACAGATTTGCTGAGTAGCATCACGTGAGATGAACCTCTAAACCAGTGGTGTAAAGGCTAGAAAAGCTGTGCCAATTAAAATAGAAACACATAATTTATTGGTTATAGATCCGGCCCCCGCACAGGACGGCGTATGGATCCTCACTCAGACTATGGTCCAATTATTAGTGACTTTGGTCCTAATGGATGGAGACGGGGGAGGACAGGTTAACAAAGTTGATGTATTTTTGGTATTCCCACTTCATCCTCGCCTTGTGGGTGTCTGGCCATGCACCTTTTAGGTTCCAGGTAGGCTTGGGGTCAGTCTACATGGCAGTGGCAGACATTATCTCCTGCCCAGTAAAAGGGCGGGTTTGTTGTTTTATCATCTCATAAGTAATTTCCCCACAGGATTATTAAAGTATATCTGATTCTGATTCAGGTAACATCGTGGCAGCCGGCCATGCTTGGGTTAGCCAAATTAGACGCACACCCTTAGTATATAAAACTCACCAGAACTCTGATTGATATATATATGATCATAACACAGTTGTGGACTTTAAACTCAGCCCAATGCTTGGACTTGCTCATCAATAAATCTCGAATGTGCACCACAATGTAGGTGCTGTTTCCTGTTACATCGAACATTTTATGTGCACTCGCTTAACTGGTTAATGCATTTGGTGCAGATAAAAAAAACAGTTGCTCATGCTATTTTAACGCACAGAAATGTGAATTGCAGTGGGGTGATTTGACACCTGATAACATACAAAAAGCTTCAGCTATTACATGCACGGAACATGCAAACTTGAACATAGCACCGTGTTGCATGCTCTGTCACAGTTAACTTCATCATTATTAAAAGCAAACACATGACACACAGCACTACACATATCCGGGATGAAAAGAAAAGCTGCAAGGGGTCAAAGAAAAGCCTTGAATATTGCTAAATCCTGATGATAAATGAGTGAACTTTCATGCTCAAATACTCCTCCAAACATTCACACTGGCTACCACCTACTGTGCATGCTTCTGTTTGGTGTTGCCAAAGCAGCAATGAAATTAGGGTACTTTCTTTTCTCCTCGGAAGTCCCCCCAAATACCCTGTCTCCTCTAACTTCCCCCGACAACGACCACTCATCTCTTTTGTTTTATACATGGATGATGTGTGGGAAGATTTACCCCCATAACGCCACTTTACACATACGTAAAGGGTTAATGGAGTATTCGCCATGTGATGGCTGAAAAGTTCTTCAAAATACATACAAAACGAAACATATCAAGCTGACAATAACAGTTTGTACATCATTAAGGTTATCTAAAAGCATACAATATCAGATTGCAAAATCATGCATATTTAGAAACATTAATTTATTCATTATTTTGCTGATTATATATAATGATGAAAGTTATTTAAAAAACCTTTTACTACTGCGCATAATTCAGTAAAACAACTTAAAATAGTCACAAAACGACTCATATAGCTGCATGAAACAAAGGAAAGACCCCGACATCTTTTCCTATCCATGATTGCGCACTTTGGATGAACGCGCCCAAACGGTCCCATCAGAGCTGGGGTAACATTTACCTGCCAGCCCGGTTTCAGTGATGCTCAGGTCCGCTGTACTCCTTCTGAATACTCGCAGTGCGATAAACTCCCAGTCGCAGTGTGTACATTAAACTCTACATATGTCCTCAGATGACCTATATCTCTCAGTGCGCACAACCTGCTCCGTCTGGCTATAAACACTGCCTTTACTTTCACTTTGCCTCGATGCAACCCGACAGGTTGGTGGTTGCCAGAGATGATGAGGGGTAACGGCAGACTTTTATTTCTGTTTCGGTTTATGCCCTCAATAATACAGCCAACATTTTGGATGTGAAAACAGCCAACATCTGACTCAAAAGTCAACTTTTTACACACGTTCCTGGCAGTTAGTAATTACTATACTCTAATTCTTATTTTAGACTAAGTCTTAGTTATTCTAACGATATTATTATTATTCTCTACCTCACTGTATGCTGCATAACAGACACACATGTTCATCTTTTAATAATATATTGATGTTATGCACATTCTGCTTGAAATTGATCCTCTGACTCCCTGTGTCACCACTATACATGTGACAACGGCATGTGAAAACACCTATTTTGATCCAGGAAACATGGTGTGTTTGACTGTTAGGAAAGTGGAAAGTACCTGCTCTACCTGTTAAACAGTGCCAATTAGATAAAGCACTGTGCCATGCTGCCACACACACTCATACCGTCATACACCAAGTCATTAGAATGTGGCACATGTTTGTCCACCCAGGGATGAAACCGGTTTTCTTCAGAAACAATAGGTGTGACTGGACACAGTCAGTACAGGGGGAAGTGAGGAAAGGGAAGAGTCTGGACCGGGTGTGCAAGATGCCAGAAGGTCAGAAGAAACAAAAACAAGTTGTAACAATGTGGCACATGAGTACGAAACTGTTGATCTTGCTGTGATTTTGAAGCTGTGATGACATTAACTGAACTGAGGCGAACATGGCACAAAGGTTAGCTAAAGGCTAGTAGATAAACAATAACCTCTGACAGGATAGGCAAAGCTCTCAACAGGCCACACCCGTATGAAACATGAAACTCACGATAAAGACAAACTCCGCCCTTGTAATTGCATCCGATTACATCTCTTTCGATAGGCTAAACATTGTGCCCAACATTCCTGTCCTCTGCCAAAACTTTGTCTTATTTACACTGATAGTAGGTTTCCCACAGCAGTCCATCCTGTCTGTTGAGTGTCCAGTTCACCACAACCAAATATCAGCTGCTTAACCCTTGAAACACAGTGTCTAATTCTTCCAGTGGATCACTGAAGCTTCATCAGGCTTTCTGCTAATCAATAGTTACAGTTTAAAGTCATCCGTCTGGTTCTCTATGATTAGAGGTCTGACACTGTCCTGCTATTAGACAGGTAATAAAACTACAAAAGGTGCAGTGGCTTTGTTTTGGGAAGGTGCCCTACCCTCTTGCAGCAGTGAAATGTAACTAAGTACATTTACTGAAGTACTGTACTTCTTCTTTTCTTCTTACACCACTTTATACTTCTACACCACTACACTTCAAAGGGGAAACATTGTGCTTTTCGCTCCACTGCATATCTTTGACAGCTATTAACTAGTTTAACAAATTAAGGTTTGTTATAAATTAAACTACCTAACAGTAACAAACAATTAGCCTGAAATGATTAGTTAATTAATTAATCAATTAGCCGATTGATTGGACAAAACGAGGCGCTACTCTAGGCTGTGTGTAACTGTGACAGCATTTGTCATTATTTTCAGACGTTTTAGAAACCAAACACTCGATCAGTTAATGGAGAAAGTAATCAGTAGATGAATCCATAATAGAAATAATCATTAGTTTCAGTCCTACACAAAATAGTTAAAAATGAGCTCTACCTCAACTACAACAGTGAAATCCTGTTTTTACATCAAATACATGAGTCATGAAACAAATAATATTATGATATAATATATAATAAGACAGGCATTGACTACGTTTACTTTAAATACTTTAAGTACATTTTCCTGCTTATGCTCTTTGTACTTTTACTTAAGTAACATTCTCAGTGCAGGACTTTTACTTTTTACAGCGTGGTAGTACTTTTACTCTATCTGAATTCTTCCTCCACTAGGCACTGCCCTGTTTTCCCACATCATTTGAGTGCTTGTGGCCTTGGAATAAGTCAAACTGAAACTGAAAGTAAGGCACACCCTCACCACCAAATCCTGTGCAAATGAGGACAGTATTATGTACTCCTCTTTTAGATCAACGGGAGTAAATAATACTGTCCTCAACTTGGAAAGCACAACATATGTGTCATACAAGGGATGGAGCCCTTTTGGAGCTTTCATTTTTGTGCTCTTTGGGGGACAACAGAAGAAATAGAAGTTTCATTTAGCACAACCTGGAAATCAGGACTCTGACAGTATTCCTACAAGCCCTGACAGATCATGCAAATATGAACAACTGGGGTTAACAAAAGATACAGGCACATTATATGATGACTGAATGCAAACTTACCCCAGTGGGACTCCACCCTCCCCTCGTCCTCTTTATTCTCATAGAAGTCTCTTATGTCAACAGTGCTGCACGTTTTTGTGCTATTAGCAGCACTGAAAACATTTTCCACATTGTCTAGAACGCTTAATGTCATGTTGTAATCTATACTTGAGTAAAATGAGTTATCTTGTGCCTCAGTGTGAGTATCTTTTGGTGTATAGGAAGCAAATAAATGTGCAAAGTCTTCTATAAATCCTGGAAAGCCACACTGTGAATCTCCTGTCAGACAGAGCAGGTCCTCTGTTTTGTCTTTTGTCCTGTTAACTAACCCGCAGACGTCGACACCAGCCTCCAGCCTGTCTGTGATGTTGTTGTTTGTGTCTGTTGCCACACAGACTTCAACAGGTGAGGCATTTCTTGCTGCTCCAGAGATGTCAAAATGATCAGTGTCCAATCCAATCTCGTATGTAGAGGAATACGGTCCCTTTGGTGTGTCAGTTGCTCCTTCACTGTCCTGTGTAAAGTCTGGGTCTTTAATCTTTGCCTCTGTAGAGTTAAAGTTGTCAGCGTACAAATCTAGAGTCCTGCAGACAATTGCAAGCTCAGTTTCCTCTTCCATATTCAGAACAGGGCATAGTGCTTCACTGTCTGTTACTGTAATTTCACTTGTTGCACAGCAAGTAGTCAAAGAAGGAATCAGCGACAGCAACATCCTCCCCGCTCTGTCCCAGTGCTGCCACAGAGGCACAGCTATCTTCCTAGCTGCCTCCTCTACCTGCTCTAACCACTCCTTCTCAATTTCAGAATTCCCCTCATTTATTCTTTCATTATCACATTCTGGCTTCTGCATCAATTCTGCACTTCTCAGCAGTTCTGTAATTTCGTCATCTGATCTGAAACTGCAGTTGTAGTCGTATACTATCTGTGTAGAAAAGACTCCTTTACTGAGGTAGTGCCCGTCCATCACTGGTGGATTTGGCCAGGACCTTGCGCTGTTATGTTCATCAGACTCCGATCCGATCTGGTTGTGATTGGTGGTGGCAGATTGTCTGCAGACCTGGCTGAATTGACCTTGGATGAGGTGATCGTGGGTGGGTGATCCTAGAGAATTCATCAGATCAGATCCTGTTTTACATGGCGTTTTGCTGTGAGCTGGCTCAGGTGTGACCCCCGCAGTGACTCGGTGGAGACTCAAGCACTTGCTGTAAGCCTCTGAGATGATCCGCTCCTCCACCAAACCCTCCAGCAGAGCTTGGATCTCAGGAGGAGAGGCCCAGGTCAGAACCAGCCGCACTCCGTCCAGAACCTCCTCGAACTGGGCCATGGTGGCGTGTCTGCTCCCCGGACATTGATGTCTAGTGCAACAGCCACTAGTAGGGATGATTAAGTTTTATTTTCTAAAGGAAATGATTTTGTTCAGGAGGTGTTCCCAATAAAAGAGGGAGGTGTTTTTGTGGCAGGAGGGGAGGTCTGTTAAAGTAATTGTTTCATTTTTTTGTGTGGGAATGTATGTGAGAGAGGTTTTGATAGTCTGGAGGTAGACGTGTCATTATTATTAGGAAGTGAGGTTACATTATGCTTACACACACTGAAACTCACTGCTGTGCTTTATTTCGACTTTATTAATTAGCATACATTTTGTGTGATGATAAATTATATTGCTATTTTACATACAGTCTACAACATACACACACAGCTTTGTTTGATTTACACATCATTTTGAGAGCAGTACCACAACCCACACACTTCTAAAACCAAAAAAAAAAAAAACATTTTCAACACAATTCCATAGTACATAGCCACTTTTTTTTTTATAAATACATAATTATTCCATTCATTACAATCATTTTCACTGGATGTTTGTCAAGTTATTGTTTCACTGATTTAGGGACTTTTCTTTGTGTAGCAGAATATTACAATGGAGGAAATACATTTGTTTATTTCCCCAATTGAAACTCCTCCCCATTGCATTTTCAGTGTGCTTTCACACATTTATGGCTTCACAATCACAGATATACAGCAATTATTTACACATAACCAAACACCCTTTATGCAGTACGCTCTGTTCCTCAGTCGCTACATGAACGTACATTTGCGAACCTTTGTCATTCTAAATATTAAATGAGTCACTTTATTGTCAAGGGATCAGGACTGGTTTGGTAAAACATGGCACAATTTACTGCCATGCCCCATATTCATTATGCTTCATTTGCTTAGTTTCACCCCAGCAACACCTGTTGCTCTACATTCGAGGTCATCTGTAAAGTTAATGATGGAAAGGCAGCTTGTCGATCAAAGGTCAAGACTTCAAAATTTAAGAATAGATTTTAAAATAATTTGATTTTACATTTTATTTTAAATATATTTAAGGAAGTTGAAATATTTCTTCTCCCATATCACAGTACAGCATACTGCTTCCAAGAAACCTGTTTTGTACACTTATTATAAGGTTTCCTGTGTATTGAATCCTTTACACATCACAACTACATAGTATTAATGTATTACGTAAAAAATCTTTAATTGCTTTTCCTTATATTCTGGGAAATGTAACTGACTGTATTTTTTCAATTATTTCATTTTTCTACAAAACAGAATTGCAGAAAATAGAAGAAAATATTTTAGTGCTTAAAGTCATACATTTATAACTCGACCTGACTGCAACGAACACTATTATAAAATAAATGGAGATCTATGTGGGTATAATGTGTGAGAAACACTTGATCTGTGTGGCTGTGGCTACTGTTGTTTTGTCTGTTAGCAGGATGCAGATGCAGTTTCACATGTGTTTTTTAGTGAACCCCAGAGGAACTATGACTATGTATGGCAAAGTACACGAGAACCACTCGCACACACAAATAAAACATGGCAACAAGACATGGCAGGCGAGAGCCAACGGCATTATCAGTTAGAAAGCTTGCAAGATTATCTCAAATAATCTTTGATTTATAAACAAATAAAACAAAAGAGACCTACTTTAATAAGTGAGTCAGTTTTTTGGCATTTGCCTTTGATTGTACAGTAGAGTGAGACAGGAAAGGCATGGGAGAGAGAAGGGATAACGTGCTCTCGGGTTGGCGTATGGGAATGTGTCCCTAGCAGTGGACTCCCCAGTTTCCACATTATGTATTATGTATAAAGGAAAGCTGCGCAGGACTTGGTGTATTCCTGGTTTTATACATGTGGAAATTTCAGTGCATATGTAGTTCTCAAGTTTTGTGAGTACAATATCTTTCTGAATGAAAGCTGCAGTGTCTTTTATACATGAGGCCCCTGGGCTGGACTCAAACTCAGGCTGCTGTGGCAAGGACTCAGCCTTGGTATGCACTATGGATGTGCTACCCTAATAGTTTGATTTAAAAAAAAATACGCTGAAGGTGATTTCAGGTTTGGTCATTTATTTTAGAAATCTGTTACAGCAAGTACATATATATTTCCAAAACAATTGTTTAGAACATATGAATAATCAAATGAACATACTAATTGACAATCAGGAATCAACCTCTACATATTATGTTGTCACTGATTTTCTGTAGATCAGGATTATCTGAGATACTCAGGTCATAATTACATCTGGTCAGTAAAGAAAAGGAAAACCCACCATGAGTCGAATGATACATTTTGCTTGCAGCTTTTATGTATTTTTTTTTATGAATTCACATTTTTACATTCACTAGACGTGCTAAAAACAAAACAATGCATCTACATGGCTTCAAAGATTTTCATCTCCATACAGTCTTCTCATTTCAAATGTGGAATGATTACAATCAATGAGAAAACAGAATCAAATGAGAAGCTGGATTTTCATACTATGCTGATGATCCTGTGCTTTGTATTTAGAGGACTAAATCCAACTGATGGTACCATCATTTGACTTAATACTGATTCACTGTAACCAGGGATAGTGACGGCCAATAGATCCACAAACACAACTCAACGCAACAAAAACACTCTTGGAAGGGAATGGTGTTTGGCACTACTACTTGATTCATAACATGATCTCAGATTTAACTTTCCCAAATACTCAGACAAATGAGCTATTTACTTCTGCTGGAGTAATGTTTAGTAAAAGCTACTGTACACAGCTGTTGTAGGTGTAAGTATACATTTGTGATTTTTAAAAATTCAAATCTTCAGTATGAACCAGTGGGCTTGTCACTTAGAACCAGAGGCTGTGTAATGACGAGAGTATTGAGAAACAGCGTAACGCATTGTGGGGTTTTGTAGACAAGAAATAATATTGCTAACTTTATCTTTTAAGATAAACATTTACAATTGCCTTATATCAATTTTATTAATTATCCCTCAGGGATTAGAAAGTGTATTTATCTCAGCTAAAGTAAGTGTTATATCAGTGCAAACTTAGACCCAAGTGCTTATACATACACTTAGACCATTCATCATTATAGAGCTGTAATTATTTCTAAATATTCACTTTATTACATCGTGGAACTAGTCCATATTATATCACAATTAAATGATCATTGAAGATGTTGAGATAATTCTGGCAGGCTTTTTGGTGAGTGTTGTGAAATTATTAATGGTAATAGCTTTCCTATGTGTGTTTCTTTCTCAGTCAGTCAGTAATTTCTGCCACACTCATCATGTGACCTCTCTCAGTGTTCTGGTCCAATATGGCTGCCTTCTGAGTGAGTTCAGGTGGTGCTCTGCTCCTCTGTCACACGGTTGGAACAGTAGTCCTTAATACCTGGCGGAGGAGAAAGGAGAGTAGTGTGACGATGATGAAGGGGTGTTTTAATGGACTTGAAGATTTACAAGGACACAAACATATCGGTTATTAAAAGGTGTATGTGATTTTTAATGAATGTCTGCAAACAAAGTAAAACTGTGACACAAACCACTCCTCAACCATAATCTCATGATGCAAGTACAATTATTGAATTTCAACCTCTCCTTCTTCCCCTTTAGTTAGCTGCTTCCCATTTGTAAAGCGATCACTTCTTCTTTCAATACATTTAATCAGGAATTGGGACAGCAAGTAAACCTAGTCATCAAAAATAAAGAAAGGACTTCGCTGGAAAACTCAAAATATGTCTGTGTACGTATCATCTGCGAGTGCATCATCCCTTACTTCCTTACTCAGGAATTTCACAAAACCAATTATATTATAGATCCTGGAGTTGCTTACGTACGTGTTCCTAGAAACACTCACTTTGCACAATATTCTGATAGACTTCAGCAGAAGGAGAGTCAGGTACTTCATTGAGGAAGGACTTGCCCTCGTCACAGCTTCGTGCTATCCTTGGGTCTAGCGGTACCTTTCCTAAAAGGGGTAGATTCAGATCAGCACACATTCGCTCTGCGCCCCCAGTGGTTGGGGGGAAGATCTGCGACGTGTTCTACAAGAGAGGAAAAAGACAAATCTGAGTTATGTATGCATTTTCAGATTCTATGGACTCTAAATTACATGGGATCTGTACTACTCTGTTATTGAAATCTATCATAATCTTGCATATTTTTTCTATAATTTTGTTATAGTCAGTTTCAACACTTTCCACACTTTCTTCATGCTGAAAATTAGAGCTAAACTAAATCATTTGACTCATCTGCAAGAACGGGACTGGAAAATCAGTCCTGTCCACCATCTGCCACACTTCAAATTAATATATTTTAATAACATGTTAATTGTTGTGTAAGAAGGAGGCTGATCAAGAGGTGTCCCACCAAGAATACCATGTTAGGGAACAAAAATACACCTGCATGTGGATGAAAACCTGCGCACTGCATGCTCACGTTGGGGCTTTTTCAGACTGAAAGGGAAAAATTTGAATATGTTGATAGCATCAACCTTGCGGCAATTTAGCTTGCAACTTCTGCTCCTCTTCGCTGTGTGTTCTTTAGTTGTTTGGCAAAACAGTGCAGACAAAGGATGACAATTTCTGTGACAGATGCACCGGAGCTCTACTCTACTCTCTAACACGTACGCACGCACACACGAGGATGAAATCTGCAACCAGTTTATGGAAACATTGTCATGTTTGATTGCATTGGCTGCATGTCTGTTTGCATCATTGTTTATGTGCGCAGCTGTCAGTGACCTTGCATGAAGGACAAACGAAGCCACTCATGTTTTCCACCACTCCGATGATCGGCAGCTTGACCTTCTGACAGAACCGGATCTCCTTCCGTACGTCCTGCAACGATACCTCCTAGAGAGAGACACAGAAATAGAAAAGACAGAAAGAAAAAGAAGGGTGAGAGAGAGAGTGAGTGAGTGAGAGAGAGAAAAAATACAAATGAGACAATTAGAAAAGCAAAAGCAAAAGCACTGGCTTAAATAGTTTTCCCTTTCCTCACAACAGTGAGAAAAACAGTAAATAAACTGAGCTGAGTTAGTGGCTGGGAATGTGTTGGGGAAAAAAACCCTACTCTGTTTGACATCAGCCAACAACAGCTTGGCATCAATTAATCAGTCTTTAACAGACTGGCTTTTTTGCTTGGTTCATTCCCTCGTCTGTGGTTAGTGAGACCTGAAAAAAATGAGGAAGTGATTCTGCTGCTGTCTGACCTCACAGGTCTTGGTCTAATTTAAGTATCAGGAAGTGTTTGCTCAAAAGTTAAATCTTTCACCAAACTATAATAAAATAGGATTGAGGGACACAGCGGCTATACAGCCCCAAGAATATGTATTGTATTGTACTGTATTACTTTATAAATCCCACAACGAGGAAATTTCCTTGTCACAGCAGCAATTACTTGAAATAAATAAATACAGATATTAAAAACTATGATAAAGTGGTAACGCTCTGGTATGATGGTAATTTGAAAAACAGAAACTACAACATTGATCAGGTGTTGTAGAGTCTGACAGCGGCAGGGATGAAAGACCTTCTTAACCTCTCCTTCTTACACTGTGGGTGTAAGAAGACCTCAGTCTCCTCAGCAGGTGGAGGCAAATCTGGCCCTTCTTGTAGAGAGCATGGGTGTTGTCAGTCCAGTCCAGTTTTTATCTGAGGTGAACACCCAGGAATTTATAATTATCTACCATTATCTACAGCAATGCACAGTGTGTTCTGTCATTTTTCAATCAAAACCAGCATTAACTGTTTCAGCAGTTTGAGCTACAGCAGCTCGTCTGTTGGATCGGACCACAGCCTTCAGTCCCCACGTGCATCAGTGAGCCTTTTCTTCTGAACAGCTGCTCTGTATTGTATGTACTGTGTGGCTAACATTTAACTGCTTTTACGGTGTCTTGTATAAACAAATAACAACTAAACATGCTGGATTATAACTTTATAAGCCGCTGGCAGCTTGTGCAGTTATGCTGTTGCCACTGGAGCATAGACTTTTTATAGATTTATGATAAAATAGCATCCTCTTTTGGTTGGGCTGTATTGTAGTTGCATTTTGCAGATGAATAAATAACACCATATAAAAAGTGAGAGGGAAACAACAGCTGTGTGGTGAAACACTCTGATCACTTAACTGCCTATCATTCTCCAGCGAATATATATTTATATAACTTTCAGTGTTTCCTCTATGTTGATTTTGGAGTGGCAGCCCGCCGCTGTTAAAAAAAAAAATCCTAGAGGAAACACTGACTTTATACAACCATATTTAGCAAAATAACATCAATTTAGGGGGAACTTAAAGATCATTCTTCAATGTCTCAGACAGAACTTCCATATCATTTGTTCTGTATCTGCAACATGTTGCAAAAATGTTTTGGTTATCCCTACAATACTGACACGTGGTAATTATAATGTGTTGAAGTGTAGGCTGATGAAGCTCTTTGGTTAAGGTTAGTCTGTCAGTCTGCCTCATGTGCTTACACTTCCCAGAATTACTTTCCATAACCCCCCCACCCCAAATGACAAATAGTAACTGTTTAGTAGTGAATTTCCCTGTGGGTTAAACACGTAGGAGGAGAGAAGAAGAAGAGGGGAGTAGTGACAGTCACCACAGTAGTGGTGTGAGGGGTTTACCAGCTGAGATAAAATGAGCTCCAACCACTTTCACTCACTCACACACACACACAAATAACTTTACTGTCTATAAAAACAACATTGCTGGAATATGGCTGTGTCACAAAGAGCCAGAGATACCATTGTCCCCATGGGGATAAGATCATTGCATTATGTTGCGTATTGAGTTTAGGGTGTGTGTCTAGATTTCTAGCCCGCCAGCAGTTCTCATTCTCTGTCTGTTATGTAATATCGTTGTGGCTTTTAGTGTCACTATGACTAACTATACTTGCTAGAGTTAGATGAAAACCGTTGGCTCAACGAACAACTCCAGGTGGTTGCAAGTCATTCTGGGAAATGTAAGAAATCACCAACTGAGGTACAAGTAGTCAAATCAGATACAGTGAAAGCAGACGATATCTAAGGACGGAATTTCCCTTTACAGTTGCAGCAAAGGCTGTTCATGCTACTTATTGCAGCATCATAGGTTATATATCTGAGTGTGCGTTACCTGTGGTGTGGTGATGATGACAGCCCCGTCGACATGGGTGGCGCTTAGGTACTGGACAATTGACAGGTGTTCATCAGAGGTGCCAGGGGGCGTGTCCACGATGAGGTAATCAAGGTCACCCCAGTCAACATCCCTCAAAAACTGCTTGATCATCCCTGATTTTTAGAACAAAGCCACGCAGGTTATATATTATATAAAGAAAAAAATATTTTCACACACACACACACACACACACACACACACACACACACACACACACACACACACACACACAAACACACACACAAATACCATTCTTCTTGGGTCCTCTCCAGATCACAGCATCGTCAGGGCTACTGAGCAGGAAACCAATAGACATGACCGCCAGGTTGTCGTCCACATACTGTAACATACACATACACACACAGACACAGACACATTTATGTTGTATGCAATCTCTTCACAGAATTAAACATTAAAAACTAAACATGGTTTCTATGCCTTCTTAAATACCAAATTCAAGGTCTCTGAGGACTTTCCAGGCCCAGTTTACTCAAATTCAAGGACCCAAAATGGCATAGTTATATGAGTGCGATGCTACAAGCTCCACTGCGGCTCGTGCTCGTAGTACAACAGGGCAATGTGGAATAAAAAAAACAGCACAACAAGCCGCTATTGTCAGTTTTACAAGTATAACCAAATATGTGTTTCATGTTTTAAGATTTTAAGATTTAAGATTTTCTGATGTTTGTTCTTTTGTTTTTGTGAAGCAACAGATTTTAGCACTGTGCCCAAGACAAATTTCCCCCTCCGAGACAATATAGTTTATTGTATTCTAATCCATAGTTTGAGACCCGAATCAAAGTTAATTAGTGTTACAACACTATACATTTATAATGAGAGCTTGCAGGCTTTACAGCTCACGGACGTCAATTAAAAAGAGTGAGGTTTAAAAAAAAAAAAAAAAAAAAACTCGCAATCACATCTTATTACAATTTCTATTCTTGCACAAATCATGCACTTTCAATGACACAGGCCTTGATTTTTCCTCCCTCAAATTCACAACCTTCCAAGGACCTGTGTGAACCATGCAAGCTTGACAAACTTGAACTGACTCACCACAGGAGACCAGCCTGAGCCACTCTGATGAACCTGCGCACAAGAGGACAGATTACACACCCACTCTGAAGCAAAAGGCATAATATGATTGATGTCAAAGAAAGAAATTAAGAAAGATAGATTGATGTTTTTCATACTGAAAAAAGTTTTTTTTAAATCACTGTTTGTGTATCGCTGTCAACATTTCTGACCAAAACTCACCTGTTCTCCCTCTAAGCCCATGATCCTAGGAATGGATGGACCACAGATATCTACATCCAGCAGGGCAACCTAAAAACAAAAGAGAAAGCACTTTTTAGTCTGTGACAGGCTGAACTGATCTTAAACCTAAGATTCAGTTTTGTAATCCTGTACAAATATCAAGCATCCATGGTCTTGGCATTTCTCAAGAGCAACACAGAAGATTTTTTGGCTGCGTGCTACAACGTGAGACTTTATTGCTGGCTCGTGTCGTGACTGTGACCTGAAGTCCAGAGAGGCAAAACTGGACATCAGAGAGAGGGGGAGGACTAGGCTATATCCACATTTGTTGTACCACAGCAGCTACACAGGTAAAGATGGTTTGTCACGGAGGCAGAGTCATTGTGAGGTGTTCAGTCTTCTTGATATGATATGATATGAAAGAAGTAACACAGGTCTATGGTTTACAGTAAGCAGTTTACATGTGGCTTTAACTCACTGAAGTAATAATCAGTAAAACAATGGGCCTCATGCAAGAACCACTCGAACGAACATCTTCGTTCTCAAGAGGCGTGTACGACTGATTTAGGAGAACTTGCTGCATTCACCATTTTCTCTTATTTAAGGAGCGTTTTTGCTGAATCTGTACGAGCACACCACACGGGGAAAAAAAGCAAGAGAAAGTTAAGGTGAGAATAAGAAAAAGTTCTTTCATGAGGCCCAGTGAACGCAATGGCACTCAGCTGTGGTTTAGAGCTGTGGTTCTAGTTAAAGTAGAAGACGTGGGGGTTTAAAACGCAGCTGTATACTAAAGTTAAACCTGATTGCTGAGATAAAAATACACTGGTCACAAAGCGACAGCTGCTGATCTGGGCCAATGATTTCAGCTGTAGAAATCTCAACTGTATGACTTTAAACCTCAGTTAAGCCACGTCTGCAGTGACCTCTAGTGGCGCTTAGTAGATTTCTACCAGAGATATATACTTTATTAATTCCCTATTGGAGAAATTGTTCTTTTCACTATTTTTTATTTTATACACACACACACACACACACAGGCTAAAATGCACACTTCATGTACTTGTGGACATGCAAACAGAGAGAGAGATGGTGGAGTGATAGTGACTGTACCAGTGGCTGTTCCAGGCACAGTCACTGAGTTTCCACTAAACCTCAGGTACAGTGTAAACCGCAGCTTCAAAGAGGTAAAGAGACCACACAATTGCGTTCCAGACAATATTTAAACTCATTTTGAAACTTCTATGCAGCTACCTCTTTTCTCTTTCAGCTCAGAGAAAATATATCACCCTAGCAGTAATATGTGGGAGTTTGGTAACTGTTGGTGTTGGTGTTGCTCTGTGGTTTTATATTACCTCCTTTGTGCTGTCACTCGCCAGAGCGTGAGCCAGGTGAGCGCTGAAGGTACTCTTGCCTACTCCTCCTTTCCCAGACAGCACGAGGATCTTGTGTTTGACCGTCGACAGCTTGGCTCCTATCTCTGCTATGGCTGGAGAGGAGATGGTTTTTGGGGGAGGAGATCAATGACGGAGATGGGTTATTGTGTGAATCAGCGGCACCAAACTCTCAAATGAGACATAAGACATGGATCCACTGAGCTATTTGTTGATTTAAAGCTGCTAACTTGTCTTGTCCAGCCTCATTTTATATATCAGATTATCATAATATCAAGATATGGGAAGAGTCTTACCAGGGTCGGGGGCCTTGGTGGCTCCAGAAGCACACACTTTCTGGTTGGGACAGCCCTCACATGATGAGGACTTCCCTGCTTGCTCACTTGTTGTACCAGGGCAGTCTGACACAATTAAACAGAGATCAATAATCAGTGTGTTTGCTTTTTACCATCTTGAACTGATCAGAACCCCATACATGTTCTGCTGGCTGAAGTTGTGGTGCAGCCATTAAGGAAACATCAAGTCTTGGGTTTAAATATTTCATATATGAAACAATATGCGGCAGTTCATCACATTCAAACGTTCAGTACTGTTTAAGTAGCTTTGTGTCAGTATTAAACCTCTTGTTCAGACACAAATGAGCAGTTTGTGCAATGTCATCTATCCGCTGACGTTTATCTAACGGCTCTGAGGAAAAAACAACTGCGTCACTGAACTTTAACATTCAAGAAGCGTTGAATTTGATCTAAATGTCACCAAAAGTGCCAGTACAGATGAATATTTAATCATATTTGAGCTAACGTATACCCCAACTACCTAATATACAAACAACAACACCCCGAAAACAAACAGGAACAGTGCAAGTAACAGTGTCGCCAACGGTAACAGCAGACGTTAGTTTAACAACCTCACCGTAAAGACAATGACACAAAACGCTACACAGCGAGCTAACTATTCTGTCTTGGAGGTAAAAGTCCCAAATAAATATTAATTTAAAAACTCACGTTCTGGTGCGTTATCGGGTACGTCCGCCATTTTTACACTAGTGTCCCCCAGTTAAAGTCTTCCCCCTTCGAAGGTTCCGGATACGCATTAAGCCATTGATGCAGATTTTCCAACCTACCTGTGTCCACTAGGGTGCGCTGTAGATTGAGTTATGTTAGCAAAAGCGGCATTCACACACACACACACACACACACACACACACACACACACACACACACACACACACACACACACACACACACAGGAAAATGAGACAGAGAGACAGGCCTGTATTCAAGTCTAATACAGCTTTGGATTAAAGCTGCTAAAACGAACAGGTCTGACAATGTATGGTCTCATGCAATGTCTTTTCTGACACAAATTATGTTGTAATCAAGCAAGATTTTGAAGCTTCTCTATCTGGATATATTTGTTAAGTATATTTTCATATTAATGTGACATTTCAGTACATGACACACAATAAAGATAAGTAGTTCAGTGACTCAATGTCCTCACGAAGCATCGACAATGCAGTTGATACGAGTAATACCAGATTGCTGTGCAAATAATTTATATATATGATAACTATTATACAACAACTTTAAAGTGTGGCACCTTGACGTCTTTCTCCATCTCCCTAACCTTTTCTTTCTCTGGGAACACGTGTGTTCCATATATTGTTCCACTGTTTCATTTCAAACACATTCAAACTTTGTGTTTTATTGGCTCACTGGTCATTATGGGAAAAAGGCGATCGGTTGACAGAGTATTATTTGTCTGGCTTTGAAATCAAAGAGCAAGTGAGAGGGCGAAGAGACGTGCATGTATGTGCACTGTGTGTCTGTATAATGTGAGTGAAACATCACTTGATGCATTACTCACAGATCTTATGTTTCCTTGTCAGTCTATGTTTATACGTACATTTCTGTATTTTTTTTAAATAGGTAGGTTTGTGTATTTAAGTGTGTGTGTGTGTGTGTGTGTGTGTGCGCGCACTTGTATGCGTACATGCCTCCCCTCACTGAATTGTTTGCCCTGTCGAGAGTGTGTAATGTGATATTTTCTTTGTGTTGGCCCATCCGTCACTAACTGACAAACTTATTCACACAAACCATTGGCAAGCTTTAGTCACTGCTCACCACTGCTTTCACAAGGATGGTAGGTTGTAGTCAGCCACAATACAGTGTATTAAAACTAGACTGTGCGGTCCCGGCAACACATATTAGGTAAATTACATCAGCAGTTTTCCATAATAATGCATCTGAACTGTATTTGTAGGTACACATGATGAGGTTCTAAATGGACATTGTTACTGATGAGGTAAGATAAAATGGTTCTTTGGTCAGACACTAAGACAGACACATGCAAAGAGTGAGCAAGAGGTGCAGAACAGAAAGAGAGAGAGAGAGAGAGACCAAAGAGCCGGGGTGACATTAGGTGTGTAATTCATCCCTTGAGGCTGAAAGTCTGAGCAGAGAACAACAACAGTGCAGCCGGAGACTTAGTTTGGAAGAGTTGTTTGTGAAATCATATCCTCTTCCTCTTCCCCCTTTGCTATTGCTCCTATGGCTCTCCACGCCCTTTAAAAAGGCTGAATTAGCTCTTTGAATGGAGACAGAAGACACTCAAAGCTGACATTATCCAGTTTACAATGCTCTTGCTAAATCTCCAGACGGAGAAAACAAACTATATATCACCTTTACCATCGTGCGATCACACATTTTCGGATGGATGTGTATATATATATATATATATATATATATATACACATCAGGTGCATACTGCATATTTGTTGACTACAGGAAGAAAGTAAATAAATGACATACTATGAAAGCAAGACTCAAGATTTTCCTCTAAAACAAATGTTTGAAGTGCACCGACCTTGAGTGGTGAGGTGTAAACACATGAAAACCCAGAGGGGAGAAGCAGTGTTGACACTCCAAAGCATAAAACAACATGTATATTTTGGGAAATACTGTTGTTCTTTCTGGTGGAGACTTAGCTGAAATGATTGCCCTTGTGTCTGTATGTTAAATATGAAACTACCGCTTGCTTAGATTAGATATAGAACAAAATCCACCCACAGCACCTCTAAAGCTCACTAATTAACAGTTTATATCTTATTTGTTTAATTCGTACAAATACAAGTTTTTGCCTTTTTCCGGAGGTTATGTGGCGGCCTGTTTCTTAGCTGGGAGGAGGTCTCCGCTGGTTGCCTGGTAACAAAAGTCCCCCTGACCCCTGTCCCCTGTCTCCAGTTTCTGTGCTAAGCGAAGTCAAGGAGCTGCTGGCTGGAGCTGTTTATGTAAAGAGGAGCTTTTATGCTCATTGACTCTTCCTTCCAAACATTCTTATTTATCATATAATGGCTTTTTATGCAGTGACTCTGTTTCACACTTTTTTAAAAATAATTGTCCAACTTCACAGGAGCCTGCCAGGAGCTGCAGCCACTGCTTGTACACACAGCTTCGTCCTCTTGCCGATGTGCCTGACAGCATGACAGATTCAGTACCTTGGACAAAAGCTATACGGGTGGCACTGAACTTGATTAATTTACTGTTTATCAAGCCATGAATGACAAATGTTGTTCTTGTCATTAACCAAAGTATAGACAAATTGAGATTAAACTGATGATGGCACATGATGAAAAGTCCCGAGGGGGTACACAGCCATGGTCATACATTGAGCATCACTTCGATATTTTAGCCGAAGTGATGGACCGACTGACCGACAGACACTGCATTTTTGTCATACAACTATTTTTTTTGTGGAATAAATTACTGATGTATTGCCTGTTATAGAAGAAGAACCACATCATTAACCTTAACTGATGGAGACAATTCAGAAATGTTGAATGTACGTTCATTTAAGCAATGACATCATCTGTCAAATCTCACACACGCACAAAGTCCAGTTGACTAGATAGTCCATCATGAAGTCAGACACATTCTGTCGATTCAGCAAGTATTTCCACACGCGCACGCACACACACACACACACACCACACACACACATACACACACTAATACTGTAGACTCAGGTCAGATTTTGGTCACTGTTACTCAGCACAAAAGATAAGCCTTGACTGCACAAGCGGCCATCATACCGGGAACAATGCCACACACACACACACACACACACACACACACACACACACACACACACACACACACACACACACACAGACTTAACATAACACACTTTTTCTACAAGGATTAACAGAGGGAGTTGTGTGCGTGTGTGTTTTGGAGAAAGAGTGTGGCAGGGCAGAGATGTCATACAACTGGAGAGGAAAGAGGAAGTGGGTCGTTGATGCTGTTAACGAACTGCATATGAAAGATAATGAAGCGCAGAAGGAAACAAAGTGTTTGTGGATTTCACTTCAATTTATAGTTGTAAAAACAAATGTATGGAAAAAGCGCTACAACTTATTCAGCTTGTCAAAAATTGTGTTAATTGTTAGGGCAGTTCCTCATCTCCATAGGGAATGTAGTTTCTGCACACTTCATATGTAGCTGCTGTATTTGTGAAGTCCCTGTGCGTCTCAGTCCTCCAGGTACGCTCCTGCTCCTTTGGAAAAACAATGTGACGGACTACCTTGGTGGGGGTGTGCACGAGGTAAAGTAACTTGAATGTGCGGTTGAACGTATTTGCGATGCAGTAAAAGTTGACAGAGAACTTTTTTTGCAGGACATAACCTGCGTTTTTTTGTTTATGTTCAAGTGACACCGCCTCTGGCTACTAGTGGTTGTAGTAAATATGAATCTAGTCAAAAGCAAAGAAGGAGGTCTTCTGACCTTTTTGTAGAGTTGCATAGTTAGGGTGGATGGATGGGGAACAACTAAAGATTGGACTGGGAGATCCCTGTTTCCTACTAAATGTTCTCAGTCAATCACTCTTTTACCATGTAGTTAGTGTAACCATGGTTCTTTAATGGTAAATTAACCCAAACCGTGATCTTTCCACAAGCCTAACCAAGTTGTTGAAACAGACCTTAACCATATGAGCTCATAACTGACAAATGACAATAGTCACGTTGTTCTGGAGAGCAAAAAAAATATTTTTTTGTTTAATGTGGAGGAGTTGTTGGGCTGCTGCAGGACCCTGCTCTCTAGTTGAAATCAATGAGAGAGTCAGGGTGACCTGGTGGTTAGAGACACTTCACAGACAAGCAGAATGACAGAATGTCACAGGTTCAGTCCTTTGAACAACCAGCGTCTGTGTGGTTTGGGTTCCTCCTCCATCGCTCCTCTGCCTCAGATCCTCCCCTCTTCCTTCCATCCTCCTGCTTTCATTCCTCCTCTTTCCTCCCTCTCTTATGAAATTCTCAGCTGCTACGGTCATGTGGGGTCATCCCCTCAGGGACTATTTTAGCTGTTTTAACTGCACCTTGTTGACCGACACTCTGGTGTCCGACCACATAATATGTATGTGTCTGCGGAGAGTGACAGAGATTCTGGCACTTGTTTGACATTAAAGTTTAATAAACTGCAAACAGTTTCACCTGTTTTGAGAGAGACTTTTAAAGTTCCCATCTCCCCCACAGAAAAAAGAATGTTTGTTACCCAGTCCACACCTTAACGAAAATGCAAAGTAACACCCACCCACACGCATTAAACATCGTATATGCAAAATCATTGCTCACCATCATAAAGAACATATTGTGCACACGCGCATGCATTTGTGTTCATTGTGTGTGTGTGTGCGTGTGTGTGTGTGTGTGTGTGTGTGTGTGTGTGTGTGTTTGCGTGTGGACACTCCCTGAATGATAACACATGCAAATCTCTATTAGTCACCCATCCTGATCATACTTAAGATGATTTGTTTGGTGCTTCTTTTTTCCAGGGAAAACAGTTAGAGAAACAGAAAACTGAATATGCACACAGACAAAGAAGTTATACATTTCTGGATATACTAGGGAAAATGCCGTATATCAGACACTGAGAGTACTGTCAACTGCAAGTTGGGTCACACCCATAACATCCTGACAGTATCATCACAGACAATGAAAACAATGAAATTAAATTAATTTTCTCCTAATTCACAAATAGCACTTAATCTCCATGCTTTCTCTGATATGCGTGGAGTTGCCAGTGACAAGCTTTAAAAGGAATAGTTTGACATTTTAGGAAATACACTTTCTTTCTTTTCTTGGCAAGAGTGAGAAGATCAATAACATTTTCATAATATGAAGCTACAGGCAGCAGCTGGTTAGCTTAGCTTAGCATAAGGACTGGAAGCAGGTGGCCTGGCTCTGGCACCTCTGTTTTTGTACACATAAAAAAAAACATAATGTGATAATTAGTGAACTTTAAAGACTCTAGTAGGTGGATTTCGTGATGTGTCGATCTTCTCATCTAACTCTCAGAAAGAAAGCAAACAAGCATATTAACTATTCCTTCAACAGGAGTAAGTAATGCTTGTAGAAGAATTAATACACACCCGATCCCCCACAAGATCCATTCTGCTGGGAAATCTGCAATATAAAGACAAGATTAAGTTTTAGCCAAAATAATTCAAAAACATTACGATATAAAAACATTCCTGTTAATAAGCCATGTCCAGTATCTTTATATTGAGCAATTGACAGCATATGTACACACACTTGCAGTCCAAATGGAAGAGGAATTTCTAGATACTTCATGTAGTTATTCTGGTTGGGCTACAGCCAAAGCACCAACTCATGCCTCCATCCCCCAGCCTCCATCTCTCTTGACCCACTCACCCAACCCCTCCCACACCCAGCTTTTCCCAAAAAAACTTTACTCAAACCTCACAACTCAACCTCAGACTGCTCGCATGGTTGGTGAACGTGGACTAACATCTACAACATCTGGCAGATGTTCTTAGTCCTGCTCTGTCCTGCTTAATCCCGTCACTTAACTATAAGTAAGACAACACCATCATGTAAAAAAAAAACACAAGATGGTGTGTGTTGGTGCAGGGATAGTATCCTTGCTTGACCTTTGACAGCCAAAGCCTTCATACTTCAAGCAGCCTTCATAGCAATTCTGAAGGCATGGAAGCTTGTGCACATGTGAACAAACACGCACACACACAGTCTTGAAGAGGTCAGAGGTCAGAGGAGAGGTTGCATGTTGGCTGATGGGAGGTATCCCCTGCTCCCTCTCAGCTGTCCTGACTCACTCGCCTGAACAGAATAACCCTAGATAACCATTGTTATCTCTCTGTCAGTGTTTGTTACGTGTTTGTGCATCGGAATTCCCGCCCCCCTGCAGTTCGGATGATGACGAAAATATCTTTGTTCCATGAAGGGAAACCAGTTGTGTGCGTACTTGCGTGGCGGAGTATTTATGTAAAGGAAGGAAGATTAGCTAGCAGCCTATTTCTGGTCACACAGTTTTCCTCCGAACACGAGGAATGTCGTTACATTTCGAAGAAGTCTTTCAGAAATTGACTCACATTGTGCAAGGGTCTATTTTTAGCTCTCACTTCATTGAATGGTCAAAGAACACAACCCTGTGTTATGTCACTCAGGGATGTAATAATTTATTTTGATAAATGTATAATGTAATATTTGACAGTTTTTCTGTTAATTCGAAATTCACTAGTTGTGTTGTATGTTTTGTATGTGGTATGTTTTATTACTATTATTAATCATTGTTCTTGGAAACAATAAACATTTGTAACATATGATGAACACACCTACACACACTTTAGAATCTT